CTCACACTTGTTTGTGTGTGAGGTGAAGAAGCATGGCAGTGAACTATGAATTTTACATTTATTTTTTACATCTGTAAAAGAAATTCTCTTGTAATTTCTCATTCAGACTGAAAAAGAAAAAAATTAAAAAGGAAAAAAAAATTGCCTTGGGGTCGGATTAGTCTGTAATAGAACATGAGGGTACTGTACGTGCAGATCTGCCATGACAATTGAATGACAACAATGATTCTATTGCCTAATAATACATTCCAGTTCAATGGCATTTATCCAACTTTCCAGTCATTGGCTCAACTTGAAAACAGCACGGCTAAGCTTCTTGGCCTCTGTCCAAATGGTCGCTGTCGCGGAGCATAGTGTGCTCACTGAAGCAAATTCTCAAACTTACAATGCATAGACCCCTGCCTAGGAGTGAACGTTGTACTCTTCATGCAAGTGCAGTAATAAATTTTTTTTTTAAAACATACAGTATATTCACATGTTTGGTATACATGTGTGTCTATATGACATGTTTTGTGTTACAGGCAGCATTCTAATGATGCCATATTTGTTTATGCATGACCCCTTTAAAAATTAGATTGTGACCTTGATCAGGAATGTATGCCTGTGTGTACATATATACAGTACATGTCTACGCAATTATCAAACCCTACAGGTAGATTGTATAGACTAAGGCATGTGGGATAACGATTTCTTCATTAAATAATTAGAGCAAAGTAACTTTACAGGTACCGGTAGGTCCTGTTCCATTCATACCATATTCCTGGGTAGTACATACATCAGTCATCCTTTATCTGAGCCTTATCCTGCGTGTGCACCCACATTATGTCCTGAAGCAGGTTTAACCTGGATCACTTTAAATAGTCAAAGAGAAGAATGCGCGTCTGTGGTTAAGCAAGATGTGTCTGGATGTCAGAGTTTGTGCCTGGCTGGAAGAGGGGTTGGTTCACACTTCAGTGATTCAATAGTTTGTGACTTTGTTCTTGCTGAGTGTCAATCCCATATTCCAAAGTTTATCATTCTGCAGTGGTACTGTTTGAATAAATGCAGACACAACGTGCATGTACCAAGGTGACACCATGAGGTATCATGTGTGATTTCCTGGTTTGGTTCCTTCATTAACTACAACACTCCCAGACCATTAAGATGTGAATGATTTTGTGGGTTAGGGAGGATTTTGTAGGGTTGAAGATTGCAGAGCTGCCTGCTGTCTTTGCACATGGCGCTTGATGCTCCTGGGAACTTTTGAGCACAAAATGTATGCCATCAATTCCCTGCTCAGTGGAGAAGCCTAAAAAAAGCTTTGGATTTGCCACAGGAGAAGTTGTGTGAAAAGGGTTCCGGACTAATGAGACTGTGTTTGAATTAAACTTCAGCATTTACCATTGAGTACTGTACATGTACTGGTGGGCTTCAGATACAGAATATGGCCTGAAGCTCAGAGCTTTGTATGGGTGATAAACAGCTTAGAATGGGAAAGGCTTTGGGCAGATCCTGGAGTAATGCAGACTCCCAGTGTTTGTGACCTGGACCAGTCGGGGCAGTGTAATGCTACCTGTTCCTCCTGGCTGCATTTTTGCATGCCCTGTGTAAACAAGATTGTAAAAAATTAGTGTTTGTTTTGGGGCTGCTAGTGTTTGTTTGAGGTCAGCTTTTACCAGGGTTGAGGTTTTGATTTTTTTGGAAGGGGAGTTCTGTCCAATGTAGTACCTGCTCATAAATGTTTGGGGTCATTTAATGTAGTTTGTATCAAGATCTTGTGTGTATGACCTCATGTTAGAAGGTACTTCTCTCATCCTCAGAGATACGCTCAAGTAAACTTTTTGTGCATTCATTGTAACGATATTAAAATAACAAGGAACAGCCTGTGAGACACCAACAATGCGTAACTTCTATTCAGTAGGTTGCTGCCATTAGTGTTGATGGACTGCCAGGATTTTCAGAGTTATTACTTATCACTTCCTGTCTTCAGGTTTTGTACATATAAACATTAACACCTACTTTTCCAGTTGCAGTTAAATTGTAAACATTGATGGTTAATTTATCCTGCGTAGAGACCAATCCGTTTAAACGCCATAACTGCGGTGGCACCGCACTCACACGCACATTCTTCAGCTTGATGCGCATGTACATTGGTCGAAGAGGCATGTAACGTGGGCGTACCCCCTGTCCACGAGCGGTGCACCACCGCAGTAATGGCTTCTAATTCTGGTTGTCGAATTACACTATACCGATACCTGCCTCCATGGTACACCTCCGCATTGTTGACTCGAGTTGCAGTTCTTTTGACTTTAAGATTTGGCTTGGGAAAAAAATTGTGATTTGACTTGTGGAAAAGTGATTTGTGAATTTGTGATTTGACTAGGTAACATTACAATGCATATGGTACAGGTATGCACTTATTTTAGGGCTGTTCTAATATCTGAATAACCGAATATACGATCAATTATCGAATATTCAGATATTATTTTCCGAATGTGAATATTCAGATGCAAAATTCATGAAAAGGAAGGAAACATTTTCTTTTGCTTTAAATGAGAAAAATGCACTATGGAGGCTTGTTTTAAGCAGACTTAAATGAAAAGCAACAAAACAATTGAAAAGGAATAGAAATTTTCAACTGGGCAAGAAGTCTTGTTCATCTCTTAAATCTTGGTAAATTTTGGCTGAAGATACTCTTAGATGTGAGAAGCTATTATATTGATTATAATGTACAGTTGTGTGCGTCATTGTAACTGATTCTGTATATTGTTTGTTCATCAACCATCTGCCGGTCGGCACGACCGAATATTTGGATATTCAATCAAATTGAAGGTCAAATATTCAAATCGTGAATTATTCGAATTGACTCAGCCCTAACTTATTTCAGGATTTATTCATTACGATTTCAGAAATCTGGGAAATCCTAAGATTACCATTGAGGTGTTTCATCATATAAAGGTTGTCATACAGTAGAAAACAAGAAATGGGTATTGTAATGAGTACCTTTAGACAAACACAAATGTACAGTGTATACCATAGACCCCACATGTACATGTTTCTATGGTGCCCTCTAAACTTCCGTCGATCATTTTGTGGATATTTTATTTCCCTCTGATCTCACCCCCTGTGTACCCTCTCAGTCTGGGTTTTCTATGTTACCTTACTTTCAGGCCCTGCATGTTTATAAACTCCCACATTGAGCATTCTACATATATTCACTCTGACTGTTCCCATGATACCGGTATGAATCATTGCACCATTTCACGACCATTCTCATGTTGATGTTGTGACCATTCTCATGTTGGTGTTGTCTGTGCAGAGCAGGTTTACAATCTATTGTACTGCTGTATGAAGTGTCTTTCATCACCCACTGCTGTATAACTTAGAATCACAGCGTCATGCCCCAGTTGCATTGTACATTGAATTTTCTTCTCCAAGGTTTTATTTTTCTGTTTTCATTTTAGGTTGTTTTTGTTTCCTTCTCTGTTGTACCACACAGTACATGTTCCAATCAAATGACTAGAAAATATTTGAAGGCGTGGCTTACTGTACGGCATGTACCGGGAACTGGCATGTGCATGAACAGCTTGTGTGCATGGTAAAATATTAACTCTGACGTACTTGTACTTTAGCCAGAGGGTTGCATCAAATATTCAAGTCACATGCACAGCTCAACCAGGACTGTTACAAGTGTGCACCACATTGAGAGCGCGAGGACATTTTGCTCCAATTTGCTTGAGGATTGCTACAGTATACCCTAGCTACTGGTAGTCGTCCATGTACAGTTAAAAGGACTGTAAATCTCCCATAAATGTGTCTGCATAAATTATGGAGGCATGATCTGGATCGAATTGAAAAGTTTTCAATGTGAACTTCTACATGTAGTGCATGCATTGTTGGACAATATACCCCTATGTGTACAAATGTAGGGTAATTACATGTAACTGGAACATCTAAAAGTGTGTGCGAGGGATACGCATGGATGTGGATGTACATGTACAGATACTGTATGTGTTACTTTGATGAGTTACATGTACAATCTTTTCTTCAATCTGTCGGTAAGTTTTTGTCACAAATCTTCAACAAACACTGACCAGTTTTTTGTACATGTACACATCAACATGAACATGTAGACATCTACATGTACCGTACATGTATAACATGCATACATGTACACGTGTAAAATACTGTACTGTTATGTAAAATAAATGTACATGTACATGTACATGGGAAACACACGTGCAAGTAAGTACTCACTGAATGCGTGCATGCACATGTACATTATACTAGGGTAGGATAACACCCATGTATGTACATGTTTCATGTACATGTACTGTGCATTGTACAGCGAAAGAAAAAAATGTACAACTTGGGCTGGAAGTTGTGTTGATACATGTACGGTTCATCCAGCATTCATGATCCAACTGTCACAGCATTGTTTGGCACATACATGTATACTGTATGGGCATGTTGTATTCATACTTTCTTCTGGATCTTGTTAAATATTCAGGCAAGAAGCCAAGATACCATACATTTGTGTTCATGTCAGCATCTTGTAGCCTTGTTTTGTTGACATGCAACCAGTAATATGTGCCGCAGGGATACATGTACATCATACTAGGCCAAGAAAACACCCAAAGCTATATTTTACAAATGTTGGAATGTTGTGGACCGTTGTTTTTTTTCAGAAGGTTATATTTTACAAGTCCCAGAATGTCATGTTAAATGGTTGTTTTTCTTTCACAGTGTAGAGTTGTGTGTGATTGATGTTTGACAGTTGGGTTTTACCTTTGGGTTTTTTTGGGTTGACCTCTCAGGGGTTCAAGAATCTCCGTGCCCATGTTTGTGATACTGTTTGAACATTCCCAGGGAATTTGCAGATTTATGTTTTTGATTTTTTTGCTCCCAGAATATGCATCCAGCAAGTTATTTCCTTATTTAGTCAGTGGAAGTGCGTTTCCCTGTACTTGCAGGCATCCAATAACATATGGTGATTCTCTTGTTTTTTTTTTGGTGTGCAGAAACGGAGATTTGTGATTGAGCATTGAACAGAGGAAGAACAAGGTTCTAAACTGCTGTGATCGATTTGGAAGAAACTGTCAAATTAACCCCCAAATCTGAGAATGTTGCGGGTACAAAACATGGACGATATAGATGATCCGATGGCGAGAGCATCCCCATTGCAGAATGGGTTTGACACAGGGCCCAACGTGGGGAGGGGCCGCGGAGGGATATCTCAGCCAGTGGGCGCATTTGACATGTCCATGGATGACGACTTTATGGATCCAATTAGCGGGAGTATAGAGGCGCCTGTTGGCAGCAGGTGAGTTGCATCCAAGTCTTGGCTTCTACTGGGGAGGGACTAGACAAATTACATGTACCAGTACATCTAGGCAGACTTCATAGTCCAAGGCTGTGTCAGAACGACTTGGCCGGCTAGTGGCTTCATGCATTTCGCATGGATGGGTGTGCTAACTCTTAGCCACAGCCAAACAATTTGGAAGCAACTTTATGGGTCATTCCATGAGGCTGGGACACAATTTGTGATGCTGTCCTTATTACATGGGTAACTTTTACTGTCTGTCATGACCTGTAGAGTAGGTCATCTACATGTACTCTGTAAAAATAACACACACCTTTGTATTCAGCCTTGCAAGATGTCAATTTTGAATCCACATGCAGGGAAATAGCTGTTCAGTTTTACCGAACCCATGTAACAATTGACACCATCACAACTTGTGCCCCAACCTCATGGAATGACCCATATCTGAAAAACCGTGAGCTTTTCAAGTTGGCCAGGGTTCATGTACATGCTTCATGTATGTGCATGTCTCCTGTTAAACATGAATTATAGCTGACTATCCCTGAGAGACATTCTCAGCCTTGGTGGAATGTTAATGGGTGATGAAATTGTGAATGGCCCACAGGGGAAAAAAATTTGCTTCTATTCAACTAGAATTTGCAGCAGATGGCCTGTTCGTCAGAAAAGTAGGGTCACAAATGTACAAGAATGCCTGATCCTAACACTGTGCTTGCTGGTTTGCGGTTGCCTTTTTTTCTGTGCAAATTCTTTGGCTCTTCATTAGCTGGTTGCAGGTTGGTGTCAGTGACAAGGGTAGATTTTAAGAAATATGCTGCTGCAAGTTTGTTTTCAATAGAATCCAACTACATGTACATGTGTGAAGGCTTGCTGTGGGTTGAGACAACTCTGAGCCTGACTCTAGTAGAATGTACATGTAAAATTGGAATCCTTGTTACATGGGTAACTTTTACTGTCTGTCATGACCTGTAGAGTAGGTCATCTACTCTGTAAAAATAACACACACCTTTGTATTCAGCCTTGCAAGATGTCAATTTTGAATCCACATGCAGGGAAATAGCTGTTCAGTGTGAAGGCTTGCTGTGGGTTGCGACAACTCTGTGCCTGACTCTAGTAGAATGTACATGTAGAATTGGAATCAAAAACTGCACTATCTGAGAAATCACATTTTTATTGATCATGGAACTTAGTCTTACATAAGTACATGTGGATCAGCAGATTCCCCCCATTTTTCTGTTTCTTGTATATCAAATGTTGCAAATTGAAAAAACAATGTACTGTACGTGTACAAGAATTGTTCAGTTTGGAATGTATTTGTTTTGTCTGAAGTGACTCCTTGTTAAATCCTTCCCCCAAACAAGCATTTCCAGCAGTTCAACATACTGTACATGTACAGTATAAGTTCAAAGATCAAACCTGGAAAGAGATTCTTTGGAGTTTTTACATACATAGTCGGCCCTACATAAACATGTAGCGTGCGCGGCACTTCAGCTAGTTGATCTGTCTCGGTTATAAAAAGCTGTGACTTTTGTACATGTACCGGTACGTGTAAATAAGGTAAGGATTACAGGATGCAGCACTTTAGCCAGCTGATCAGTCTCAGTTATAAAAAGCTGTGACTTTTGTACATGTACATGTAAATATGGTAAGGATTACAGGTACCTCTTTAAAAAGGAAAATTGTAACCTCATGATGCAGTTCAATAACTGTCCCGGGTAGCTTCTTTGGCTGTGAAAATTTGGAGTCAGTTCCAAGCCAAGCCTTGACTACTGGAGGGAATCGGAATGTTTAAAACTTTCCCAAGTGTTGGTTTGGATTTGCTGAGCGAAGTACATTAAATGTGATAACGAATGGTGACTGCTGAATTCAACTGGGTCAAATCGCTTGGAGACCAGTCAAACAAAATCCAACAGAAATTGTTCTTGGTTAGATATTAAAGGATTTGGCAAAGCTACATGTATATAAGGGTGTTATTCAAATAATATGTGTGTACATCTGCATGATGCCTCCAGCACTTACCATAGGACATCCTGCACAGGTCTGCGAGAATTTCAGCAGTGAACTGCGGAGTCCTTTCAAGATGTCCCTGCAGTCATGAGTCATTTACTATTGAACAGTTTTTCTGGATTTTTTCTGCCATTCATCCACATCTGCCGATTTATTGCATGAAAGGCTCAGGCCCCATATGTAACGGTACATGTACATGTGTACCCCTGGTATTTGTGTGGAACTATCACAATGCATGGTCATGGTCGGAGAGTGTCAACAGCCGCTTGAATGATAAAAAAAACCAAGGAGTTGCTGTTGTATTGTCATCATTCTGTCCGGCATGATGACCATTGTTTGTACAGTTGACTGTTGTGTGTACAGTCATCATGTTGTGTATTCATATTTCAAACCTTGTTGCCATTTTCACTTCACTTTGTATACACTGTCATGTATACAACACCACCCTTTGCTTAAAATACCGGTAGGTGAATTATAGTCAGATGATTTCACAGCAAATAAGACTACCCGTACAAGTAATTTAGGACATTCTCATGCAAATTCCAGTGCAAGTAATTTAGGACATTCTCATGCAAATTCCAGTGCAGTCTGCCTGAAGAAAGTGCAGTTGAACACAAATTATACAGTCAGTACAAAGTTCAGGTAGGCCTGCACTACCTCCTTGAAGACAAGAAAGGAGGTGAAGTTTGACTGAGAATTCCTGAAAGGGTAGTCCCAGCAGGGCTGCCCTGGGCTGGCTCAAGTTCCACAACAAGCATCTCAAATTGATACCATGAACATGATGAAACTGGAATGGAATGGAAAGGTCAACCTCTGATAGCCTGCTAGCAAAGGACTACCTGCTGTTGAGATTTGAAAGGCTGTTTGTCCCTGACACTGGCACTTGGACTCTGTGCACACAAGTCTACTGTGTAAGAAAATTGCACATGAACCCTATTGACAAGCCATATAAAAGCTACCATGTACATGTACTGTACATTGGTGGTACTAAGCTAAGAGGTACACAATATACATGTACATGTAACACAGTCATGGTCCATTTTTGTTGGTCATGGAGACTAACCGTATACTCCTTCACACATTAACTGGACCCTACTGATGAAGATGTGCTGGTGTCAATCACTCCTCCATGTATAGAGTCAATGATTTTCTGTTTCAAAAATGGGTATATTCCATTTCGCCAAATCCTGAATTCCGCTTCAGAAATTCAAATTCCGTTTCATACATGTACCTTCGTAAGCATGAAATAGGAGAGTTGTAAAGTTTAAAACGATGGTGTATGCATGGAAACCATTTGCCCAACCACATTGAAAGATAAAAAATAACAACAATATTGTTTGGAAATATTCTGCAATGTTTCAAACTTTTTTATAATTTCTGTATTGAAAATAAAAAAACCAGACAATAAATACTGCACACCCATCCCTTGATTTCCCACCGCCGCGCGATCACCAAAAAGTTGCTACAAATAATCAATGGACAATTCATGTGCCGCTGCTTGTGTATGAAATCAGATTACATACACATGTATGTACATGTACAGTGAAGTCACAGAGTAGGTCGTGCATGTAATAGTCGTTGATCAAAATATGTTAATGTTGGACATCGACCCACCATTTTATTTGGCAGATGTGCGACAAAATTCAGAAAGTTAACATTAAATCTGAGCCTTAAAATATATGTTTGTGACTGAAAACTCCACTTTCTATTGAACACTTCCGAGGACCCATTCAGCTATGGTACACCAAGTCTATTAGGTTTTGTTTAATTCAAGAAATATGTAATTAGTCTTCCGTTAAGCTGCCGCAGTTTTGTCGTTTTGCCATGCGATACTAACCTTGTCTTAAGGCACGGATTCACAGACTAAATTCTCTACGTGTGCAGTAGTCATATGTGTGAGTAAGAACTTGTTTACGCCTTAATTTCATTGCTAGTACGGTACGCGAGTGAACGGCCAATGTGTGTACATACACAATGTACCGTACCGCGCCGCAGCGCTGTGCCAGCTGCCGGTGCACGCATGGGGCCCACACATGCCATAGCGCTTACAAGTATCGGTACTGGCGCGGTGAGGACGACCCAATCATGTGGCAGAGTGGTGCAATTTAGCATGTTTCCAGCGTGTTTCCTTCATGAAATGCAAACATTTGAAAAGGGTTTGGTAGGCATTTATTTTTTAGTACTTGGCAGAAAGTTTTCTTTACTTTTTAAGCCATTCTTAGAGGGAAGTTTTACAAGTATTGATTCCGTTTCAAGCAGTGGATTCCATTTCAAAGTGTTGATTCTGCGAATTCTGTCCGTTTTCTGCAATCGCGGAAAATCATTTGCTCTACATGTATACATGTCTGGATGGAAACCTTTGTTTTGATTTCTTTTATATGAAAAAGAATATATAATACCAGCACATCTTCGTTAGTCACAGAAATGCACAGACTGTTGCCAAACAGGTATGATACGTGTACTTATATCCAAAATGGACACATTCCTTTTTTTTCACAGGAATTTTTGTCTTCATAGAATTCCACCGTACGGTACATGTACATGTACGATGTATGCATTATATGTTCATGTACATGTACCATCTGCTATGCAGTGTAATGATTAATCTATCAATAATAATGCTGCATATGTACGTGTACATCGTACACGGAGAAATGGCTGCCAGATATTTACCGGTAGTTACGGGAGCCATTTTACAATAACATCATCACAATGGGGGCAAGGGTCTAAGTGCAAGAGGCCCCACTGCAGTGAGTGAAATTGTACTGACGCCATCGTAAGCGGACGTGCACGAGCACAATGTGTAATTTTGCTTTGATTGGTTCTTAATGTTGACCAAAAAAAAAGCATACTGTATGTTGATTATGCTTGTGCGTGCGTACCATTGGGAGGCTGAAACATTTTCAGCACAATAATACAGTGCATGTACATTTGTATTTGTACCTTTGAGATGAATTGTAAGTGAAAAGTGCAGCCACCTGGACTTGCTGTTCCGTTATGTCAGGTGTGCGTGAGCATCATGGTGTAGTTTGATGGTTGGGCCTGTAAGGCTCCCTGTTTCAGCCTTTGGTCTTTAAAGGGGGAATTGAGGAACACTTCAGTGTACAAAGATTTGTCAATGGATGACGAGGGAAATAACACTTCACCGGTTCCCGATGTGGAATCAGAGACAGAGAGGCAAGTGTCACCGGTACTGTGCAGTGAAATCATCACATTGCATTTTCACTAGTCCTCTTTTTGAAGTGGTTGTTAATCATTCTTTGCAGCATGAAATATTCGCATGAAATGTTTTGGTGGCACCATAAGTGGATCTAGACAAGTGCTACATGGTAAGCAACAAGAAGAATAATTGGATATGAAGTGCAAGTAAACTTGTGAATTTCCTCAGAGGCTTCTGGAAAGTACTAAGCTTACACATGAATTAAAAAAAAATTGTCATGCACCTGATGGCCTTCCCCAAGTACCGGTATCTTTTGTCAAGCTACATGTACATGTACATGTATGTGGACTTGTGCTTAATCAATTGTGCAAGTTTCAAGGTACAATTCCCTCACCCTCAGCTTCCGAAGAATTCTCTCCCAACCAATTCATCTGAACTCCCACAACTTTTGTTTGCATTCCGATTGCATGAATAACTGCGGGTGGTCTGTTTTAGCCCTTTTCACACGAAATTGGCAGTGGCATACATGTAGGACGCATTTTTATTCTCCTCCCCCTGCCCCCCCCCAGGATGTGGCCTTGATCTGTGCACTTGAAATAATGACAAATAATGTGCAGAAATGATGATGTTGTTATGGTGAAAAATGTTCCAGGAATGTTCAGTGACATATGGTGATTGATGAAGACACACGGTACATTGCATGCGTTGTGGTAGGGTTTGTATTTGGTGAATGTACATGTACAATGTAGGCCTGCATTGTACAACTGTACATATCCACATGTGCTCTTAATTGTCCATGTACACAAATGTGATGAAAAGGTCCAAATGCAGGCTTTCGTTTGGCAAAATTTGCCAGAGAGATGGTTCATTTTTTGCCCCTTGAGATGTGGCTTTGATCCGTGTACCCAGCAGCTAGAGAGAATAATACCATATGTTCAAATAATTTTGTTGTCGGAGAAAATCATCCCAGGAATGTTCAGTGATATTTTGTGGTACATGTATATCATGAAAACAAAGGGGCCTAAACATTGCATATCAGAATACGTATGAATAGACCTCTCTCATTTTGCCTACAACTTGTATGGGCAGCCAAAGTATGCAGAAATTTCATTTTTTGTTTTGTTTCGATTTTACCTTAAATTCGTTCAAAATGCACATTGGTCCCATAAGTTTTAAACAGGGGTGTATTTTCATTTGGTACCGTAATTCAGTAGTACATGTACATGTATGTGTATTATTATCTGGTGTTCTCAGATAGCTGCAAGGGATTTTTAAACTCTTTGTGAATTACCGGTATTTTGTATCGGTGGCCAACCATTAGTATAGCTTTAGCAGCCACTTGTATAGGTTGGAAAAACATGACTGTGACATCAGAAGAACAGGCCATACATGTATTTACATATGTGTTGATAAGGTCCAAAAAGTTTTCTTTCATTCAACAAGTGGCATCAGTATAAGCACACATTGATTTTCTCTGTCTAGAGATTTCCTGTTTTTCTTTGGCCCAGAGAAGCTGAGAGGACACAGGAACTCTTATTTTGGTATGCTTTGGCCCTTCCTGGCCTGAGCATTTATTGCAACCACAACTTGAGATAACAAATGCAAAATGTTATAGATTTACAGATATTGCCATGGAGCCCCAGAATCACCTTGAATCACGCACGTGTAAAGACAACAATATAGTTATTAGTTCAGTACAAAGTGCTAGCATCATAGCACCACTATCACAAAAGAACTCCTCTCCGTAGCGTCATGGGCAAGAGACGCCTTAATGCATAAGAACAGGCAAGAAATGCTGGATTTTGTGACGCATGTGTAATGGGCAAGAGATGCCGAGATTCTGTACCACATAGATAATGGGCAAGAGATGCCAAACCTTTAACTGGTGGCCAGTAACCGAGGGACTGTGTGTGCGGCAAGTCACCAGTAAGTTTGTCCCGCCCCAACCCTTGGGGCCGTGGGAGGGGAGACCACCCCGCAGCTGGGGTTTTTAGGCCCAAGACAGGTCATGGCTGTGGTCAACTGCCAAAGGCTTGTCTCTGCTAGGAAAAGTGGCCTCTAGTTCTGCACATCCGGGCCTATCAGAGAGACTGAGCACCCCCTCCCCCACTATTATCCCGAATGCCCAAAATACTGCTCCTGAAGGGAGTCCTGTGGGTGTCTGTATGCCCACTGATTGAGCAGCAACGATGAGCGGCCGGAAGAAGCCCTGATACCACCCCCAGGACCGGCCCCGGCATTTTTCCCGCCAGTGCATGCAAGTAAACAAAGTGGGACATGCCTTCATTGTGGGGGCTGGGTTTTTAACTTCTAGCTGTATATGCTTGGCGATGAAGGAGAAGTGTGGCGAGCGCGCCAAAATCCCAGCCAATGTGACGTATGGAACGTCTGATTGGCTGGGGTAGCTACCATGCTGGGAAGGAGCCAAATGCAGCACGCATAGCACATTGCAGATCCGCAGGTATTATGAATGTTCTCACCCCCCTGGGCCAAAGGGGGTTCCCTGGAGACAGGCTCCTGGGAACCGTTTTATGTCTCGTTATGCATGATTTTTGAGATGTCAAGTTTCAGTGATTGCTAAGCTGACTAAAATTGAAAAACAAAAACCTCAAAAAATAATTTCAGTTCTTGTGGCAATGTCATTTTGTAAAATCCAAGCTCCCTAGGGTGTGTGGAAAGTTGTCTTTAAATCTGAGGATTTCGGCCTGTACTTCGTCTTACATATGTGCATGAATGATTTCATTTTCCTCTTTCTTTTTCTGTGCTCAGGAGTGTCCAGCCTCAGATGCGGTCGTCACCGGGGATGCCCCACCAGCAGGAGCAGAGACTGCCGCCCGGTCCACAGTACGGCCAACAACACAGCCAGACACTGCCACCTTCATCAGCTGGCTATTACAATCCGGTAATTTCAAAACGAACGTAGCTGTTGAAGTTTTGGCCCTCTTGGCTGGAATCAAAAAAGGACCTATCCTGTCTGTTAGTGGGTTTTACGGAGCTCATTTTTCTCTGCAGTCACTTTGTGTTAGCTTTGTTCATGTACATCTGGTGCCCCCTCCTTTTTTAGCTCAGTGCTTAGAAAATTGCTCATTAAATTTGAATATGTACGAAAATAAGATCATAACAGAAGCTACATGTAATACTGGCATCGGGTCTTTGATTGATAAGCAAATGCATCGCAAAATGTTTGCGGTGGATTATTGATTAAGAGTAATGAATTGGCCCATTCTCAGCATGGCCAAGACCAGAAAATATACCTTTTCATACATTCACGATACACAGTAGCAAATAACCACAACTATTGTTACACCTAGGTTTGGGTGGTCAGGCTATTGAAATGTGACCTTTTGATATAATGGTGCACTTCCTCTTGTACACAATGTACATTGTGTAACTTGTTCTCAGAAACATGGACAGCACTGCTTGCCCCAAAGGCTTTTTGAAATCAAATTGATCAAATCAAAATTAATCACTTAGAAGGTCAGGTCATGTCTAGTTTATTAATTTCTCCTTATGTCACGTTTGCATACCTGGATTTGTGTGTACGCAGGGCACATACATGTACTGGTACTACTATAGCTTTGTACACAGAATTGCATGTTCACGTATGTAGAAATAGAATTCACATTGAGGATAATGCTTACAATTAATTTTTTTTTTGTTAATTGGGGCTGGGAAATTGGGAGAAGATTTTTGCTATACATCCATTTCCTGTGGAGTATCTTTGGCATCCTTCTTTTCCAAATATACCAGTATAAAGCCTTGCCATCGTTGTAGCGTGCATGACCTCAAGGCAGTGGCCTACAGTATGCTCAATGCTACAATTTTGCTGTTTCATGCAGATCCAAATACGCATTTGTATGAACGTAATACTTGTCCCTTGAGCCAATAGTGCTGTGCATCCATAAAGTGTTATAGTGCAAATACAGGGTGGCGTCTGGACGCTCCCAAAATGATAAGCTGGAGCAAAGTTCACTTGTTCCAAAACAGAAATGAGATGCAAGCAACAATCAAAAGAGAGATTTTTTGCGCATGACTGTGCTGTAGTGCATCTTTAAACTACATAGGCACATGATAGTGAGTGGTTCTGCCTACAAGTACCCAGTGTGTCTGTCTCAAAACAAGAAGAGGGTTTGTGAAAGATGAATGTCTGGTGCTTTGATGCATTTTTGGTGGAGAAAAGATCAGGTTTTTTTTGGTAGCACTGTTGCAAGAAAGTTGAAAAAGTAAACATGATCATTGTGGTTTTGTGAGTGTTTATTTGCACCAGTTTTTCCCACAGTTTGTAATCAGAGTTTTTCTAGTTCTGTCCTTACACTTAGTTTTTTGTTTATTTCCCTGTACATTATGGAAATGGCAGATACACATTGCTGCACAGGTACTGAGGTACATGTACTGTATATGGTACATTGTACTTACATGTACCGGTACATGCACCATACTAGTAACTACTTGTACATGTATGCACTCACACGTACATGTATAAATACAGATGTACATGTATGCATGCAAAATGAAATGGCTTAACTATCATTTTTGTCCAGTGTTCCCAAGCACCTTGTGATTACCAGCAAATGTAAGACTGTTGATGCTGAAGATTACATAATGATTGGAGCAAAATTGAACAGGTGGAATTAAGATTCTGTTTCGACTTACTGGTACATGAACATGTAGGTTGTAATGTACCTGTGCATGTACGTGCAGGGGACAGTATGACACAGGTTTTGCTTGGAATCATTTGAAAATATTTCCCATTGTAGCATGGATCAGTGTTGCATGCAGTCAGTCAATTCATTAGTCAAGAAAATGTCACTAAAAAAGTGACTGATGTCAAAATAAACTAATGGGAAATGCACATACTGTAGATGTACTTTCAAATTCACTGTGAGGCTTTGGTCTTGCAGTCTTCTACATGTATTGAGTTTGAGTAAATTTCCTTCGTGTTCACTTTTGTTTGGAATTGATTGACAGCATATGAAAAAGACAATTATAACACTCATTTAAGACAATAATTTGATGGCTGAATAATATTTGCGTGCATCACATTAGAATCAATACACCAATTACATGTACATGTATACGTACATGCCATTAAAAGTTGTTGTGTCAGCACAGTTGTTCCTATAAGTAAGGTACCACACAGACCCTGGAAGACAGTAGCATAGTTAGCATTTTGGCAGAAATAGTGGAGATGAATTTAAATGCACATTTGACCAGAGAAACGTACCCGGTAGTGGTCTCACTTCGTCTAGGGTGCAGTGTGAACCTACACGTTTTTCACAAACTTTTCAGTATATTGTTGCACCGTAGTGTACATGAGTGTACCAGGTCATGTACAGCTACCGGTACATGCCCATGTACATGTACTTCTGCAAACAAAAAAGGCAATTGTGCCTGACCTGAAAAATTAAGCATAAAATGTTTATTGTTAGTGCTGATGCTGACTAGCACATGTACAGTGTACATTGTGTACATGTGTACATTTGTTGTGCATAATATGCACCTGTCCAGGACAGTGTATCTACTGTACATACACATGTACATATTTGTTTGTGACAGGATCACATGTACATGTATGGGTACATATACATTACATAAATAAAGTACATCATAATAGTGCTTATGCATGGATAAATGTTTGGGAATTCCTTTATGTGGATTGGATTATGCCTCATTAATGTGTATGCTCAATCATGTGGATCCTCTGCTGTGATGCATAATTTCCACAAACTCAAGTGCTTCTTTGAGGGGGGAGAGGAGGTTGCCAAGGCAACATTCCGCACATTGTTTGGTGAATTTTCACAGAAACAAGGGGGAGTTTTCAAAGTATTGCTCGTGAGTAGCCTACTCATTGTCAGATCAGGCACACCCTCTGATTGAGTTAGAGTCACTACTGAAGTCAGTTTACCCTGCAGACAGGTTGGAAATACATGTACGTGTACATGTACATGTAAGCCCCCTTTACTAGGTGTTAGGAAACAGGCTCAAGTGTACCCATGTACATGTCGTACATGTAGGCCTACATTGTAGCAAATTATTAAAGTACATGTACATGTGTATGTCACCACAGCTTGACGTGCGTGTACTTATTACTGGTACAAGGCATGCTGATACTAATGAAGTCTAAAATATTGTTTGGATGCATGTACAATGTACAAGTACATGTACATGCTGTTTTTCATGGTGATTCACTCAGTGTACATCAGGGTACATGTGTACTGTGTGCATTTGTTAGTGGTAATCCTCAACAAATTCGGAGAAAACTGTAGCCACACGCTAATTTGATGGAAGGCAAATAATTTGGATTTCATTGCAGAAAAATGCCGGTAGCTAGTGATGCCATGAGAACACAAACATCACACACCTTGCATGTACCAGTATATTCTACAGTATTTGTTGGACTTGTACAGAGCATCCATGTAATATTATTAAGGCAGCAGGAGACATACACATGTACACGCACATACATGTACTATACATGTACATGTATGTACATGTACTGTATATGGACCGTGTACAACTGTCTTTTACTTCAAGTCTTTATCCTGCCATTGTGCCTTGAAGCCTGATACCCTCATTTCTCTCCTGTTCTTTGGCAAGTGCACATTGCATCTGCACACATTGTGAAAAGATTCAAAAGAAGCCTTGCAGCACACTGTACCTGTTGACTCAGCGTCCCTTTTGTGCCGAAATGTTTTCAACCTTGTCTGCAAGACGCCTGGTGGTTTTTCATATTCTAATGAGGTACAGCTAGCACAAGTTTATGGCAGGTTCTCTGTGCTTGTGTGATATCTGTATTCTCCCTCAGTCCACCGTCATGAGCCTTGGTGAAGAAGTACATGTAAGTTCAGTTTCAGGCTTTTAAAACTGCATGCTGCACGAACATGGTACCAGAACTTATGCATGTATGGTACATGTACTGGTTTAGATTTTGAAATGTGGGACTCTCTTTTGCATTGATACAAACTATGGTAAATGTAGCACATGTTTTTACATAGCTGGGGTAGGCGTAACTGAGGCCTGTACATGGAGGTCGAATAATGATATCCAAAGACCACATGTACTTCGTCTACATGTATGGTACATGCACACTGTACATATATGTGCCGGTACATATACGTACCTACATGTATTGTGTGCAGTAGACTGCGAGGACCGATTGCAGGACAATAATGTTTACATGTGTACCAGTATTTGTGTTCCAAAGGATACACGTAAATGTACAAGTGAAGTGTATGTGGGCACTTCATTATTGAATTGTTATGTATGTTTTCCTAGGTGCTGTGCATAAGCTCAATATGGTGCCTTTCTGCATTAGCACCGTACATGTACACGATGCACTGGTATATTTATTGTAGGCTTACAGTACATGTAAGGAGTACGTGTACATGTATGGACATGATCATGTTGAGGCAACTCTGTTTGGTGTAACAAATGTCTGGCAGAAAACAGATCTTGTTAATGTGGCTTTGAGAGAAAAAACATTTTGTGGCAAATTGGTTGCCATTTGTATCACTTCTATAGAAATCGGTAGCCCAAATTGCATGTTTGACTTGGGCCAGATTTTTACAGATCTAACTGAAAGTTAACGTGCCGATTTTTTTCCAGATTGTTACCAGTATTATGCATGGACAGCTGCATGTACACAAATTATGGAGTTCAGCAGGAGTTCCATGGAATTTATTGAAACAGACAGATGCGTGTACAGTACCAACAAACTTGACCATCTACGTGTATGGGAATTACCAGAAATAAATCCTAACCCCTGTATGCCTCCCTGCTGAGCACCACCCATGCAAGAAAAAAATGCATTCAGCCTCAGTCCTCCCAAATCCTCTAAATTTCTTAAATATGTGCCTTTGAAGGTCGCCCGCTGCCTCAATACTTCAAAATCCTCCGGCAATTCCTGTTATTACGTTGCAAATCATACCAGTATCTTGGAGCATTATGGAGAATTTCATATAATATAATGTACATGTGTTGGCATGAATTTATGCATGGCTGAGCTTTAGCAACACAAGATCTAAGCTAGAACCTCGAAACAGTGTAGGGGACATCCTTCACAATAAACCACACTTTTTTGCCATTCTTCCTCAATCTCTCAAAATCCTCCAAAACCACCCAGAGGACTTTGGAGGATTGGGGAGGGTTAGGGTTCAGAAATAATCAGATCAAGTGTATCCTACTGTTGGGACTTTCTTATCATGCACTTCTTTGAACAGGCATAGCTGCACTTCGGAGTTTGGGCTACATACATGTAGTCACCCGAGAAGCCATCAGAGGCGCTCATACCATCATTACTATTTTTTTTTTTTTAATCTCTCTATTCAACTGGGGGAGACGTCGTCATCGTTTCGATGGACATCCATTACTAACTTACATAGTATGCTCATTAAAAACAGTGATGATAGGTTTCTTAAAAAAAAGTGCCCAAATTGGAGATACCGATATTCCAGTTTTCCTGAGCCGCTTAGATGCGCATAAATGCCCTGTATGCACACATGAACCATTTCTAATAGTTTTAAGGACCCACATGTAGTATACAGTACATGTACTTACTGTATTACTTGTACAGACAAAGTTATTTTCATGTATGGGTACACATACAGTACATGTACATGTACATTACATGAGACTTAAAAAGGTGTTTTAACTCTGTCCCAGTGTCTGACTGAACTGGAGGAACATCAGCTGATGGGCCAAGGTTATGCCTCGAATCATTTGTAGGCTGGTTTGACAGATTTGCGATTCATTGACCTGACCTGGGGGGGGATGACCCAGTCAGTTGACTCCCTTCTGGATGGCAAGCCTCAAAGTGCCCTTGGCATTGTGTGTTGTGAGATCCATAAATCATCCCTCCTATCCGGAACAGACAATACCCCAAGCTTCCCCTCTTTTCAGACCTTTGTCAGGGGGAAGCCTTGGTCCCTGGAATATTTTTGGGGGAGGGAGGGTGGGAAGGGGATATTTAGTTGTCTGTACATTAATAGACCAAGAAATATTAAACTTTGGGGTGTAATCAGTTCAACATTTCCACCAAGTGCCTGAAACACTCAAGCACTCGTGTGTACACGTATTAATCGATAGATCCCAGGCATACCATTTATGTAGCTCTTGCTTTTTTGTGACTTTTTTCTTTCTTTGCTGATTTATTGCAATGACTTTAGTGAAAATTTGTTACATGATAATGTACATAAGTGATTATATAAATTAGAGGCCCAACTTGGGGATATTAAGGTGTTCTGTTACGGGTGAAACCATTCAGCTTTTCTGGATGGAACTAATATTAGTACCGTTCACATTCTGTAGATCAAACAGGATTACATTATTTATGACGTGTACAATATACTGTTCAATCTGCACAATGTTTGATAATGTTGTTATAATTTTACATGAAGAAAAGTTGAATGGCTTCATGTGTAACAGGACACCAAAATGTCCTCAAGTTGGACCCCTAATTTATAGAATCACCCACATGTACATGTAGACTGTACATGTACCGTACTTCAACTTTTTTTGCCTAAATTGTAATATGTTAAATTGCGTAAATTGCTTAGTAAGCTGCATTTACAGAAACAAGTCAGGCTCTGGCCGAAAGGATGAATCCTACATGTTGGAGAACTTTTTCAGAAAGCAGTTGAAACTGAACACATGCTGTACACCTGTACATGTGCAATCTATTATGTACAAATTGCAACATGGCATTTTTTTTTGTATTCTCAAGATATTGTGTGTTTGTATTGACACCAATTTACAATAACATTTCAAATAGACTTCATGTGCATGTAGTAAGATGAGAGGACAGTTTTACTCTGTCTTACTGGTAGAGTACATGTAACCATTACATATGTCACTCTTTGAATTTAAAGCAGCCCTGAAGACATTCTTGTTTCCCGGTTAAGCTCTTCAGACCTGCGTAAATGTTTTGTATCTATATTTGCTAGGACCTTTTCATTAACTGTCATATTGTTTTTGATGCATACATGTGTATTTTGTTTTGTAAAAGTGTTATGCACCTCGAGCGTCACTTGTGACGGATTTGGCGCATTATAAGTTCTCATTGTTATTATTATTACATTTACCCGAACCAGATGTTTTCCAAAGGAATAAGCACTTTCATTTGCAATCATTTGTGTTTCTTGCTACGGTTTGTTTCAGAGTCACTTCCAATCATTTATCATCTCATATTTACCTTTTATTCTACTTGTATTTCTAGCCAAGTGAACCTACATATGAATGGCATCGTGGAAATGTCCAGCTTGAAAAGGTGAGTAATCCAAGTGTTATTTTTTTTTTCATTTGATCTTTTTCTTGAATTATGTAGCTATTGAGTTGGCATTTGGAATTCGAGGAGAATCCTAGAATTTGAATGAATTACTTCATGCTTTGAATGTGTTATCTACAAGAACAGAAAAGCAGAACTAAAGAGGGCGTGTTTTTTTGGGTACTATACTGCGTACACGCAGAATGCATGCAGGAACCTGCTTGGAAAACTGACTACCACCTGTCTTTCTTTTGCTGCACTTCAACTCAGGGCGGGTAGCATACCAGTAGCTGCAATGAACTGTTCTTAGACACAGTTCTGCTGCATTGTTATACTCGTCTTTAACGAAGGGAAAATATTTGACATCCTTATTAGGTTACTGTAAATGCATTGAAAAGTAAATGTTAAATATTTCAATCGTCCATGGTTTCCTGGACAATTGAGGGTGCTGTTGCTGTGATGTCTTCCAGGGAAGATTGGTCCATTGCATAGGTTTTTCTGTTCAAATTGTGAACCCAGAAGTTAGTCACTAAAACATTTCTGAGAAATGATTAATTGCTTGTTTATTTCTATATATTTACATTACATAAATCACCAAAGAAGAGAGTATTTAGGCTGGGAAAGTCTTTTAAAAAACACATGTAAGACTTTAAGATTGAGGTTTTCTTCCTAAAATTACATCGCAGTTTTGTACGACTATGGAAAACTCATTAGCATAAAAAGCCTTTGAAATAATGAAACGAGTTGAAAATAAGATGAACTGAGACACAAAGGTGTATTTTTTTTAAATCCATAGCAGATCTGTAAAAAAATATATCAGTGAATGTTGAACGAGCTGTATTTCTCTTCTTTTCCTTCAAATTTGATACCAGAGATTTTGTTTAAAACATCCATGACTTAGTTGTTAATGACCTGACTGATTGTGCCAGTGTCCTTCCTACATTGTATGCACAGTGAACTCCTGACATGGTGGAAGCCCATTGAAAACAACATGTATGGGTGACTTGGGCCCTACAGTAATAAATCATGTAAAATTGGGTAATGAATTTTTTTTGGGGGGGGGTAGGGTTTTTCTTTGACTCCCTATGGGATAATTGAGATGACAAGCAATTGCACAGTTCACCCTTGTTCTTCCATCGTTTTATTGAACCGTTTTTCCCCTTCTGTTCGCAGAGGCCAAACTGTGGTTTTGGTCTGGCCGTCATTGGCGGCATCGACAAACCCACAGCAACTGGAGAAACCTCCATCATAGTGTCGGACATCCTGCCCAATGGCCCTGCCGATGGCAAACTAAAGTGAGTATAATCTCCCTCCCTTATAGTCTTTGGCAGTTTTAACATGCAAATCACCTGTCATTCAACATGGCCCTGTCAGTAAAACATTCCAGATTGAGTAGATGCATAGTAACTTAAATCTTGTCAGTATTACAGGATATAGCCTGGTTCAGATGCCCATGGATGTAATCAAACAAAAACCCACTTGCTGTGGTTTTGCACATGGGTTTACATAACCATGGGCGTATGGCACACTTGCTTCCACCTTGGATACCATGATCCCCGGTGGCATACTAGAAGTTGCGGACTCCATCACCACTGCTGACAGTTGTTCACTGTATCAGCACAAGTGATCAACAGGATCAGAAAGTTGCGAAAAGGGACTGAATTTTTTTCCAACCAGTCACCATCAAAGAGTGACATGTCGGTCAACCAGATCAAATTCCTGTGGAGGTTTCATACTCAACCTTTTCCAGGGGGACTATGCTTAGTACATGTACTTCAGAAAGCTGATGTTTATGGGCTGGAGGTAGGGCTTAAAAGATGGTTGCAATGTGGATGCATTTGTGTGTCGCTCAAACATTAGAGATCTTGAATATTATTTTGGATTATGGTCTGTTGATATCAGATTGTTTGATAATCAATATATCAGATGTCAAGTACATGTACCCAGTATGTCATAGATCTTTAAAAACTCCATATCGTATGTAAAGTAACTCTCCTTTATTCCAAACTGGATAGCTTGAAACTCAGTTTATCTCAAAAGTCACATTTCATTCCCATTAAGAGAAAAGGATATTAAAGCTCATGAATACCTCCATAAAGTTTTTCATGAGTCATTACTCCGTAGCACACTTCTTACTTTCACGCTGGGATACAGTGTGCGCATAGCACACTACCATTGTGATTAGACAAGTTGCAAGATCAGGCCTGTAATTGTAAGATTACCTGATTGCTATCTCTCACCCAATTGTAGCCCACGCACGAACAGTCCAATCACTGGCTCTTTGGAGTTGCCGTGTGACGGCACTGGAGCCCTGGCTTTTGCATTAGCCCAGTTATTGTTGCTGGCCTAGATGTAGGTCATGGTGGGTGTAGTGCATTGCATGCTGTACTCATGCATATGGTGCAAAATGTTAAGAATTAAGAATAACATACATGTACTTGTACTAAACACAATTCAACTTGTTTAAATTATTATGTTTCCATTAATGATGAAACAACTTTAAGATCGATATAAAAATTTGGAAAATTGTATTTTTACCCGAAATCTACTTGTACATTAATAACAACAAGTGGAAGAAAAATGCGTCCATTCTGATGGTTTTCTGGGCAGTGGAGTCCATGAATTCCAGTAGGCGGCAAATGTCATAACCATGTGGACTCAAACTTGAGATACATGTATATTTTGTCAGTTATCAGTCTTGTTTTTGATATTTTCAATATCATTCCAATAGCAGGATTCTAGATATTTTGATATGATTAAAACTTTGAGATTGCCAATATTCATTTTGATGGTGATAAGTGACGGCGACTAATCGAGCAGTATTGATACATCGGCGGGCCCTATTTGGGAGAGGGTTGAAAAGAAAGCATTGTCCTGTTACTCTAAAAAACAAAAAGGATGGAAAGAATTCCAAATTGGGTCAAGGAGTTGATACATGTACTTGTAAATCAAATCAAGCTGTATCAGCTTTATGAGGTGGTACCTGTGGGGAAAACTGGGGTTTTCTTACTCATATCCTTAAAGACCGTGGCGGAATGTTCCGCCACCACCGATTCATGTCAAAAGTTATCTATTTATACATTTAAGTGGAATTTATTGTCATCTTTGGGTCCCTTGGTACAGTAGATAGTGTTCCCATAGGCACTGTTGGTTGGATGCAAAGGGTTTTGATTTTGTATTTAGGATATTTGAACTATACTGGATATTCTGGAAGCACATCTTGAGAAGGGTTACTAGTAATGCATGTACTCTTGTCTATGTTGGACTCAGTTTGTGTGGGACATGTGCAAGCATGCATGTGTATATTAAAGTACAGTGGAACACCGCTATACTGAACATTCGGCTGTACCGAACATCGTCCTTGAGTCCCAATATTTTGTGCACAAAATCTACCGAACGCTATGCACTTGCTGTTTGTAATTCCGAAACGTCGACTTGATAAAACAGTCGGGTTTTTTTATGTTGGAGGGTGACAAGTGGCTGCCATTTCCCAAGCATTAGAAGGGAAAGTCACTAGTTGTTGAAGAGTTAATTGTAATTAACTAGTTGAGAAACTGGGTACATTGGTCCGCACTTGTTCAAAGTCATCTTCTACTAGTGACGGCCAGGGCACGCACAGGAAAGCTGCCAATGGTATTGAATGGACGCTGGTTTTGCGAGTCCGCGTGATCGGGTGCGGAAGAAAACCACACGCGCACCGTGGCATTGCACTAACATTAGTCTAAAGAGGGTGCCACTGATACACAAGCCACCGAGATTCGCCACAGAATGCATCAGAGATCGATCCTGAGTGGTAGCTTCACGACTTTTAGGATAAACTTGAAAACAATTTTGTAACTTAGGCTTTACAAAATACAAAAATCATCAACAGATACATTTTTAGAAACCTTAAATGTGAATGCAACGGCAAAACATCACGAAAACAATGGACCATGGTATCACAAGAGGGTGCACTTCAGTTGGAAAAGAGAGGGCACTATTCAACTTGGCAACGAAACGCTTGGCAGTTAATTTCGCTATACTGAAAGACCGCTGTGCCGAACATTTAGCATGGACCCCCGGCGTGTTCATTATAGCAGTGTTCCAATGCACTGGTATTTGACAGGTGAAGGTGGTGTTCTTAAAGAGGCAGAAAAGTTGAAAACGAGGTCCTCATCAATTAGCTATTTATGTGTTAGCAGAATGCCATGTATACCTTTTCTCAGTTTTGTTTTCAAAACAGGTGGGTCCCAAAGATTGTTAAGGGGTAAATTGAAGTGTACGTGCAGAGTAGAGAATATGGAAGTGTCTACAGTCACCAGCTGTCATCTTGTCCATAGTGGTCCTGTTTATTGAACACAACTGCAAAGCCAATCCTAACCTGGCTGTCAGTGTCAGGACAGGTGTTGGCTTTGCCAAGGAGGCAGAATTTATATTGTAGGGGTACCTGCTGAATGTTACATGCTCATGTCAACACTTGGAGGGGTCAGTGTCCCATCCTTCATATCTAGGGGACCTTTGTTTATACCCCCCCCCAAAAAAAAATCGCACATTTTTGTTCTCTCCTTTTTCGTTTTTTTACTTTCCTGTGTCACTGATGGTGGGTTAATGTAATAATGGTTGCGGGATTTGTTTTTATTTTCTGATTTTTTTTTTTCAACACAGGAAAAATGACAGAGTACTGAGGGTCAATGGAATCAACATGGAGAACGTGGACCATGGTGTGGCAGTGGGAGCATTACGGAGTGCTGGCAGCTATGTGGACATTGTGAGTACCCCATTCCACCCGACCTCCCACTCCACTGAGTCCTTACACTTTTGCCCAACCACAGCCCTCAGTAACCTTTCCTTTTTACACCTCTCCACCATCACCTCTCCAAAATGTCAACTGGCCAGGCTAACCCACTGATGACCTAGGAGCTGTCATAATTGCACTTTCCTACATGTTTAGTGTCAAACTTTGAGTTTCAATCCTTCAATTTCCCCCTCCCCACATCTGTTGATAAAGGGATCGAGATTCCGGTTTGGCAAAATAAGCATGCATTAGATTGTTTGTGGCATGGAGGGCAGTGTGGTAACACTTCAGTAGGCATGGAGGGTAGTGTGGTAACACTTCAGTAAAGTGCCTTTCAGTTGTGTTTAGCAAATTAGTCCACGTACACTTAAGGTGATTTGGAAATTCTTGAATCAGTCAAATTCTTGTTGGTCCTTTCTGATTGAGTGCTAAAATGTTGCAGATATGTGCATTTAGAGTGCTGGAATGGTTTCTACAACTTGTCAGTGATGCAGTTAGATAAGTGCTGCTGTATTTTTAATAACCAAAAAAACACAACAAAGTGCATGTGAAGAACATCGAAATCCATCCATATGCAATGTGGCAAATCACCGAGGTTATCCTGTCTGCGGCTTAATGTTTATATGGTGTGTATGCAGTCTAGAGGTCTGTTCATTTTTATGTATGTGTTGGCATGTAGGAATATCAGGGAATTGTATGTTTGAACAGCTGCATATTTATATGGCCAGCCAGTGGTAGGCACATGCATATGGGTAGAACTGTAACCTGAGCTTGGTGAATACACAGATCCATGCTTGAAAGAGAAAAAGATGCTGATTGTTAATATCAGTACACTTCACTTGCTATGGGTGTGCACCAAATATTGTATTTAGGTTCTGTTGTGTCATTCTTTCCTTCACGGTTAATTAACCCTAACCCTCCTCAGTCCTCCAACAGGTGAAGGATTGAGGAGGGTTAGGGTAACACTCATGCATTTGCATGGAACAGCTCTTTTGTGAAAATGCATTTATACAAATCAACTGATTGAAAAGAAGAAAAAAAGACCTTTCACAAGCACACATAAGCATGCATGTGCTTTCCATTGTAACAAACACAGCGGGCCAGCAAGATGATCTGATGTTGGGGGATTCATGTTATCAGGTTGGCATTTTGATGGGTCAATTTTGCATTCCACAGCAAACTTCCCACATACCGTAGCGGTACCAGGATGGAGTTGATGAATCCTTCGTGCAGGACAATGTACATGGAAAGTCTCATTTTCATTGCCCTTGGGTGTCTAAGTCTGCTGTACCTAGACATACTTTGCCTGAGAATGAGGCCAGTATAATGGTCCAGGAATTTAATTTAAAGGGTCTACCTGTATGCTTTTTGTTGTTTTTTTTAAACCAGATATATACCTTGAAATGCGTCTTGTATTCAATTTTTGTGTCTGGTACCATATGAAGGGGTAGCCTATACATGTAAAGTGAACCGTGTCCTTCCTGACCAACACTCAGCAACAACACCCTCAGCCGTCATGAGAAGTGTATACACTTGACTCACAGAGGATGTGAAATAGTTTACATAGAAGAATGCATGTGTTGGAAAGATGTATCACTTTGAACCTGGTGAACCCTGAAAAAAGTGAACTAAGTACACATGCATGGACATATACCTGTATAATATGCATGTAGACATACATTTATTATACAAGTCTTTTCTGTATCTCTCCGTGTACATGTAGGACTTTCGACGGAGGGTGCAGACCTTCCAGCCCATTTCCAAAGCACAGACCCTGCCAGCCTACGCCCAGCCCAGCTTCACCCAGCCGGACTACGGCACGCCGGGCGGCCAGTCGGCCGCCTCCACCAGCCAGTCCTACTACACGCCCCCAACCACCCACCGCTCCCGATCCCAGCCGCCGGGCCCACGTTCGGGCTCGCAGCTCTCCCTGACGTCCTCGCAGAATGGCCGCGCCCGGGAGACGGTGGTCCTGAGCAAGACCCGCAACGAGGGCTTTGGCATGCAGCTGGGATGGAAGTTGTATGTGCAGGGGCTGAGCGAGTACGGAGTGGCATCCAACCAGGGGCTGCACAAAGGGGACACCATCGTGAAGGTAAGGAGTTGCTCCTACCTGTAGGACCTAAATGGAACACTCAAAATAAGTTTGCTGTTCGAAGCAGATGGGTAGAGTTAATATGTCACAGATGATGAGATTCCCTCTTCAACAAACCCCTGTTTGCTGTGCATGAGACTTTGAAAAGGTCACAGAGAAGTCAATAACTGTACTTGCCGTGATCAAGTAGTTGATTGAGATTTGCCAATTTGTGATCATATTGAACTGATACCCTTTTTATTTTGTACCATATTTCATATTTCCATAAAACCTTGTCCCCACAGTACAATGTTGTGAGATCCATTTATGTGATTTGTTCAGAGTCTCAAAAAAACCCTTGTTTGCTTATTTCTTTGCCTTGTGTTTGCTTATTAGTGTGTTCTTCAAAAGTCCAAAGAAATGTACCCGAAATGTAGATGTCCCTCAATGCCTGAAATTTAAATCTTGGAGTGGAAAAAACTATTTCTGAATTGAAAAAAAGGACAGTAAGCACTGATCTGAAACATTCATGTCTCCAGATAAATAACTACCCGGTGGAAACCCTGAGTTTGGCCGACGCCAAGCGCATCATCCAGACCTCCGGAAACACACTGAACCTGGAGATCATCCGGGAGCCCCAGACCCCGACCTTCTCCACGCCCAACTACATCTCACGCAGTTCGGATCGCCTGGACCGCCTGTCCATCGGCCAGGGTGGCGAGGGGGGAGGCTACATCCAGCAGCAGCAGCAGCAGGTCCAACAGAGTCAGCCCCAGCAGCAACAGGAAGGGTGGGAGCTGCCGCCCATGCTCCGGAATGAGGCACCCAGCTACGACCAGGATGATGGTGACCCCTTGGGAGGTGCCCTGCCCCCACGACCGCCTCTCCCAGCTGCGGAGCGTCGAGGAGGTATGCGCTCACCTGGACTGTTCTTGTACTTGTGGTATTGTATTCTCACCGGGCTGATGATGATATATGGCTAAGGCACAGTGCAGCAGATGTGATGGAAAGATTCTTCAAGCCTCGAAAATTTCTGTAATGCACTTAAATCACAGGATATGAAAATCTGTCAAGCCAAGCGTGGAGTTATTGTACAGTTTAAGTGGAGTGCCTAGCTTTTGAAGACACCTTTTGCCAGCCATTGCTGATAACTGTCACATATATGTAGGGGCAACAGGCCCCTATAGACTATGCACTGATGAAGGCACACTTTGTTTCCAGGCGCACTTTCCCATGGAGCCAGTGGAGCCCACAGTCCACTGAGTACCATAGGAAACACTCCTAAACAAAGTATGGCAGTATCAGGTACAGAGGTCTGTGTTGTATAGTAGCAGACACCTGCTGTCAGAATAATCCCCTGAAAGGTCTAGAAGCTGTATGCTCCCATTGGTCCATATTCACAGCTGTACAGTCTTCCTAGTCCAATAAACTCCAACCCCCCCATATCCTTCAGAATCCACCAAAAGGTTTTTTGTAAGATATTACAGTGTAAAAGAAGGTTGAGCCCAGCCACAGTTACTTCATGGAAGGCTTGATGTCCCCTTGAAAGTTGAAAGCAGAGAATTGCACCTGTAATTGTGATGAAGTTTAGAGAATTGCAGAACACTCCAAACAAGAAAGTAGAGTTCTCCTTTCCATAAAACTGTATGGAAAAAGGGGTTTGCACCATATCAACTTTTGTATGTAAGCTTTGTTGTAGAAAGTGCATCTAGTTTGGAATTTTGTTGGGATGGCAACTGTTGTGGGGTTTGACTTCCACCACAGTCACAAGTGAGTCAGTTACGATGTATTTTATGGTTGTTGATTTCAGAGAAATTTGAGCTGCCACCACCCAGGCCCCCAAGCCCGGGCAAGCAGGAATTCATGGGGTGAGTAGATCCAACCCTACATTTAGCTTTTCTGTTTGATTATGACGTAGACTTTAAAGTCAGTCTTCAAGTCCCTTTTCAGCTTTTTGGGGGGGTTATTTTAGAACTGACTTGGCCCTCCACACAGTATGGCTTTTATTTTTGTTTCTTTATCGTCCAAAATTGTGACCTGTCACCACAAAATGAGCTGAAAGTTGGAATTTTCAGAAATTGAGATATTGGTATTTTTTAATTCAGTAGAAAAAAAGAGCTTTCCTATGGTACATATACATGTACATTTCACACATAGGGTAAAAATATAGGGTGACAATGTGACATTATTCAGACAGCTTTGAGTTTTTGTTTCTGACATTGTTTTAACATTTCGGATGAGGCAGGAGTAATGCCATCTTCAAAATTGCTAAAGAAAATGATGTTTTTTAAATATCTGATGCTACTTAAAGTTCGGAATTTAATGGAAGACAGGTTACTCTATCCAAATATTACAGAACCCCCAAATTGGCCCCCTCCCCTTTAATTTTTGACTTTGAACTCTAATAATAGGAAGAGTGAGATGCAACTTTATGCTCATTTTGTTGTGACGGGTCACAATTCAATTTCTTTAAGGTAGTTAAAGGGAACTATGCAGCGTGGGGCTTTTTGAGCACTAACAATGAAAACATGTGTTGGACATTTTTATGTTTGGTTCATAACGGTTGAATCTGGGAAAGTCTGCGTGGTCTTCTGTAGAGGATATCCATTACACCTGCACCTTTCTCTACCTTTCAGAAGCTTCTTATTCACTTCACAGTTCCACACATACACTAACACACACAGACAGACTCAATTGGTTGCTGTGGAGGTTCAGTAAAACCACATGTAGTTGGAGGAGCTGTCCAAAGGGTGATGGTTCGAAACCTGTGTCATTCATTTTTAAATAGATTTTTCCCTGTGTGCTCCAAGGTACGATTGATGAACTTGTACGTGTAGATGCATTATCCACATCATTTATATCCACTAGTATGCAAGTTTTTTGGTACCGGTACATACATAGTCCCATACATGTATACCTGTATCTACATGTAACTATTAACCTTTGCATGCACAGGCCTTGTTGATGGCTTCAGTATTTCCATCATAACTATATGCATGTGCTTTTGAGTATTCGTAGCAGTCTAAACACTTGAGACCACTTTATTCACGAGCACAATTTGGAGCTTCTTTTGACGGGTACTATTACCTTGATGTCCCTCGTGCAGTTGCCCGAAGTACCTAGATACATACTTGTAGTCTAGTTGAAATTCATGTCCTACTGACTGCATGAATGCACAGCTTGCTGTGAACTTTAATACATGTGCATGCATGTAAAATGACAACCTTTGATATTTTCCAAATCCCCGTTCCTAGATTCACCTGAATAATACACATATATCTATAAGTTTGTGCAAGCCAACTGGAAATATTTTTTATACCGATACTTGAAGTGTTTCAGGAGTTTTTTTCTCTCATCAAAGCTTTGGGAAATATTGGTATTTTTATTGGTATGTGGGTGTGTTTTACATGCGTTAAGTGGGCGCCAAGATTATTTTTGAAGGTCTGGCTACACTTGACTGGTAGCTTTACTGCAAGGGCATTCATTCAAGTTGAGAATATTTAGGAGCAAACAATGTGTTCTTTGCTGGCTTCAGCACCATGCAGAAAATGTGATAAATTCAGGATGACTTGAAACTTTGTGCTTCAAATCTTGAATGAAGGGTGTGGCCCTTACACCATTGTGTAATTGTAACACTATACTCAGTGTTGTCTGAAAGCTCGCGAAAAAACCCACAGGCTTACGAGGTGATGAGTTAACAGATTCTGAGAGAGTTTAGGGTGCATAAAGTAAATTTCTTGTCATCTTGTCACTGCAAAAAGGTTGGTACAATTTTCTGTCACAGTGTTCGTTATGATCTTTTTGCATGTAATCAAACACATCCACATGTATCTGTCATGATAATTTTGAGATACATGTATTGTACACAGTTGTTGTTGGACCTACATGCCAGGTCCTCACAAGTTTGTCACAAGTCATTTGCATATAGTCACAAGCTGTTCAACTGAAGCGTGGCAAATACATTGTGTATTGTATGATTGCTACCTGACACCAGACGAGTGTCTTAACTTGGGTTTGACTTGTGACAGAGTGGTAGTGGACTCTCCTCAACACTGAAATTGTGGCTTAGATTTGTATGCAGCCCTTTTTTGCACTGACCACGGTTTAATCCATCATCACTCTAACTCATGACACACCTCACCGGCATCTTCTCATCAGGCGCTCCACCGCTCTCTAACAACGTCAGCATCGCCCGCCTCCTGCCATGCCCGCGAAGTGTTGCATGTGCATAGACACCCCCATTAAAAAAAAAAGTGAATAAGAATGGGGGAAGTCAAAACCTGGCGCATGCATGGTCCGAACTCAATCATTAACCAACTTTACAGACGCTACGAACGAGACTACTGGTAAAGAGCGGGTTTGAGTACTCCTCCATCCTGAGTTTGGCTCGGTAACTTCTGTTCCAGGGGTCTGCGTCGCCTGTAGATGAACAGATGTCGTCGCTGATAGGAAGCAAAGGTGTAAAAAATTGATCCCTTGATAGGTTAGCAATCTAGATCTCAGGCCAGTTTTATGTAAGGTTCACTTGGTGACTTCGAGCACCATTCTACATTTATCTTTGTGTGCATGTATGCACATACAAAGTCAAAAGTCCAAGTAACATTCAAATCAACTCTCTGTAACTTAGTTCATGTACATCCCTTAAGGTCAAAGTTGTACAAGTTTAAGTGTTTTGTGTAGGGTAAAGGTCCAAATATTCAATGGAATTCAACAGTCCTCTGGTCTTCTAGCTGTTTGGCAAAACGTGCTGTAGGCCGTAGTCAAACACAGGCTGTGCACTGAGACTGGGAACTAGATATTGAGCATGATGAAGATTAATATTTTCCACTTGTATTACTGTTGTTGACAGAACATAGCGCCAAAGTGTGTGGCCTTGCTGTGTGCTCCAAACTCACAACCTTTGTTTAGACGAGTCTCTTACATAAGTTTTATTAGGGTCTAGTGGTTCTTAGAAATACATGTACATAAATCCCAAGCCAGTGTTTGTTGATTCCATCCATGTTATTGAAGTCTCCTTGTGTTTGTCATCAAAACCCAGACGTGGTCCCCTAAATAAGATAATGCAGCTCATATTTGTTCTAAGAAATTCCCCCTTTTGCCAGCATCATCCTAAGTGCAAATTCATTTAGTTTCTCCATTTTTTGTTTATTAAAGTAGGTCATGTTTGTAGAAAGCTGTGTGTGGGATTGAATCAAAGTAATACAAATTATCTGTGATTTGTGACTAATTCCCTTGGTGAAAATTTACTAGTGCACATGTACATGTACATATATGCAGTATTGGTCAAAAGAGCATTGTCTGCTGTGTAGGCAAGTTCAGGTTGTATTAGTGATTTGTAAAACGACGACAGTAGTCTTATTTTATCCTTGAATGGCTTTGCATCAGTGGCTTTGCATCAGTGGCTTGCGATAGATCCTCTTAGTTGAATCCTTTTCCAGGGTTTCTCAGTTTTATTTCAACATACACTATGGGTACATGTACATGTAGCTTACGGCTTTTAACCAAAGACTAGGAAATAAATGCTATGTACATTTGGCTTAAATTGTTAATATTAACTAATTATCATTTGATGTACAATATACGTAACAGGGCTTATATCCCTTACTGATTTTGCTGGCAGTGTACATGTACATTTCAAATAAGCATTTCTGTATTTTTTTTGAGAAATAGGAATCAGTGATGTGTATAATTAGTTCTGTCATATTTATAATAATGATGAGAACAGAGATTTTGTTCTCTGTAAAATCCATGCAAACGCAAACTTTAATTTTTAGTTTTGCCAAGTGTTTTTTTCTAAATTATGTGTTATAATGACTTTTATACAACACCTGCAAAAATCCCTGTCATCTGATTCGTGGATAGCTGATCACATGGCATTTGTACCAACACACAGCACGCGTATGCGACATGCATGCAGAGTGCAAAAAATGTATACAACAACTGTGAGTTAGAAACGAATAACGAACACTTCCAGATTGATTGCACTGCAGCTTCTAGTGGTAAAATGACAAGAGATCAAGCTCCGCTATTCATAATTCTACAAAATAACCATTAGAACTTATTTTCATAAGTAATGCTGATGCTGCCGACGTAAAAAAAAACCAGATAAAATTCTGCCAAACGATTCAATAAGCTTGGAAAATCATATCAAAAAATTAACGGATTCACAACTGGACAACTTCCAGTTGTGAATCCGTTAATTAATCCAGCTGTACTCAGAAAATCAGATGATGGGGATTTATACAGGTGTGGTATAAAACAGAGTGAATGTTTCTCATTTGTGTTTGGTAAGAATAATCACCTCATGCAGTTACTCTTACCATCGCACTCATAAACATTCATAATTTGTATACTGTAATTTTACCTGTATATTACCTGTGTAGGGCTTGTTGGTTAATGACAGATGACGTATTAGACAGTGACTCCACTTCGCTCAATTTCCCGTCCATGAATCACACCCTGAACTTGGTGTGTTTAATTTCAGAATGCTTGAGGTGAAATTTAACAAGAGCAGTAAGATCTTATTTGAGGTTAGTCTATTTAGGTCAAACTGCTTTTCTTTCTAAAAAATTATTGCCTACATTGTACATACAGTTGTTGCTCGAGTAATTCTCTGAGTTTAGGAAACTGATTTATACTGCTTTCAGATGTTTTCTTTCTTAATTTTTCATTTATAATCTTCTTCAGAAAATACAAAAACGATAAAATGTAGATTTGCAGGTACATAAAGAATAAAGTCTGAAGTGGTTGTATTTTTAACATAGCCAGTTTTCGTTTACTCATACTAAGAATTTCAAGCCACATGTACTAAATAATGCTACGTAATCAATTTGTAATATGCTGCCCAACTTACTTTGATGTTATTTGGACAAATCATTGACTTGATAATAAATGATTCCTTGATTATGTTGAACCAGGACTCTCTGTTTCAACTTTATTTTGTTCTAGTTACATGTACATGTTCATGTATACGTACCGTACATGTGTCTTCTTTTGGATCATTCAAGTGATATTGTGAAGATTCTGTTCCAGCCTTGAGTGACTGAGTGACAAGTACAATACACGTACGCATGTGTGGAGTATAATGCATTCACCGTTTGAAATGTGACGCTTCATTTGTGAACATATGTCTGTTTAAATTTGGTAACACAAGCTTTAAGTTGTAAATTTTGTATTCTCTCTGGCCCCCCCGTTGTTTTAGCGATTGGCCACTTGAATGGAAGACTTTACAATGCAAATGATATCAAACATGCTGGTACTCTTGTTTAGGATGTATAACTTGTCCTGCCTCAGAGAGAGACTGCAACAAATTCTAATTAAGAAGTGTTGTATGAAGTCCAGCCAACTTTTGAAAGGAAACAGAATTAAGAAACAAAGCTGCTTCTTTTTGTGGCAATTTTCTCATGTTTTGGAGTGACTGGTGATGGGCTGTTGTTGAAGATGAACATGCGTGGAATTCCTTTAAAACAAAAAATTAACCGTTTACTAACAGAATTCACTAACCTATTTTGCTGAGGGTTTATTTTCACTCCATATTTCATGCTTTGGAAATTTTCATGTTTTGCATTCTTCAGAATTTTATGTATTGAAATTTGTATAATTCAGTGGTGTCTAATGTGGAATGCATACATAGGATTGGATTATCCACTGAAATTTTTTTTTACCAGAACAACCACAAAAACAAAAATCTTGAAGTACTCTTGACAAATTGTATTGGTTTGCGTTTACACATCAAAGTTTCTCTCTAAAACCAGGATTTGGGGCAAAACAATGCAGCAAACTGCAGTACTTGGAACCACATGTGTTTGGATGCATGCAGCTTCAAAATAGTTACATGAAATGTTCAGTCTTTGCGATTACTGATGGCCCAGTCGGTAGAATTGCTCCATGTTGTCATTCTCGCCAGTTGGTTGGGGGACAAATTGATCCGTTTTTTCAGCATTTTAAAAAACAAGTTGTGTGTAAAACATGAGATTTTCACCAGCATGAAATTTACACCATTCTTTTCAAATTCCTTGCTTTCTTACAGTGGTCCAAAAAAAAAAAGGAGAAAAAAAGCAGAAACAAGCAGAACGGTGTTGGCGTTATAACACTGCAAGTGTGCTAACATCGAAACTGTTGGCTAAAATGAACAATACAAATGTTTGATGTGTACAGAATGTGTGACAAGAAAATTCCAGAATTCAAATTTCATGCTTGTGAGCTATTTTTTCTGTGCGTTGATGTACCTATAGATAGACGAAAAGCCAATTAAAAATGGTAATTTCATGCTGTGGGAATGTCGTGTTTTATTCGCAGCATATCAGATGAGGTGGTGGAAGGGGAGGACCGGCTGATCTCCTTCCGTAAGGGGAAGAGCGTGGGGCTCCAGATCATTGGCGGCAACGACTCTGGCGTGTACGTTGCACGCATTCAGCCCAACAGCAATGCCTCTATGGCCACCGGTCCTAACGGGGACAGGATTCGCGTCGGTGACCGCATTGTGGATGTAAGTTTCTCTTAAATGTTAATTTTTCTTTAAAGATTTTTTCTTGGGGGTGGGTAGCGATCTTCCTTTTACGCAAGCTGGATTTGCATGCATGTTGTGTGTGGAGGTATAGAGAGTGAAATTGCAGTTAAGCAAGACGTACAGTAGTCTGACCATCTGTGGCCTATTTGTTGGAATATTGAAGTAGATTTGTTCAGACAGACTGGATAAAAGACACATGAAGGTCAGTCTGTTGACAGTCGGACTTACAAGATTCTTTGCATATATCATATCAGGCTCTTTAAAGTATGGTATTCACCCTGTACCAATGTTGTTAACACTCAGTTATGAAAAGCCCAGCTTGTTCATTCTCAGTCACTTTTATAGCAGCCTCATCTATAACATGCGGAAGTAATTAACCCAGATTACGTGAGCTTTAAGGTACTTCTTGATTGAAATGTTAAGCAGTTACAATTTTGAGAGACATCTGTTCTACAAGTGGGACCGACTGTGTCTGCCTGGAGGTTATTATGTGTGTGAGGGGCATAACCACAAATTGAAACCGTAACCATACCCCCACTGTGCAAAACCCCAAACAATGAGTGATCTGATTCTGGTAGGAAAGCTTGCAATGGTTATCAGTAAAGATTTCCTAGAATTTGCAAGGATTGATTGTCTTCTTTTATGGGTGGGGTAGATTTGCTGCTTTCAAGTTCAGAATGGTGGTACATGTACCTGTATGTGAACATGTATACATGTACTGGTACATGTGCATGCCACCCTTGGCGCTACTAGTTCCAATTCTGCCAAAACCATTGCCCGGATTCATTTTTCAGCTGGTGCTTAATACGTGCAGGATTTGCTTGTTTGAATGGAAGGGGCGGGGGTCCCCACTGTTGGCGTGTCTTTTCCCTCAGTGCTTCCCAGATTCTACATGATAGAGTTCTTAGGTTTGCCTTTAAGTACTGTTGATGGTGTTGGCGCATTGCCAGAGGTTAGTCCAGCCAAAAATGCCCTTGCATGCACACTATTGTGGCAATTAATTTTCCCAGGATTGGCAACATATTCATGTGGAAGTTGACAGTGTACAAAAAATTGTCTCCATTTGGACTTTTTCAAGTGAAACAAGTTGATCAGTGCAGGCCTATGTGACTTACATGTATTGATTGCCATTTTGCAGGGAAGAAAATACTTTTTTTCCCCAAGTGTCAATTCTCAATTCAATGTTTAGAAAAGTAAAACTAAAGGCTCCCATAAATGTTAGGACATCATAGACTTAGACAGTTTAACTTGTTCCAGGGAGACCAGTTAAGTAAAAGGTGGCCCCAGTCTACTCCTTCCTGACTTGGCCAAGAATTCTGCTTCTTGGTGAATGTACCATTATGACTGTGTCCTTTAACATATTTATCAATCGTTTGGTTCTTAAATAATCATGATAATTATTCAGAATCACTTGCACTGCAAACAGAAAGTTGGCTGTTGATGAATGTTGCTTTTTATACCTTGGGACCCATATTCCCTCCCGTTGAGGTAGTAAGCCAGCAGATGTGTTGTATGGTGTATTATTTGACGATAGTTTGCATGTTAAAAGGACTTCAGGATTCTTCTTTTTATAGACACGGGTAAAATAGTCACTTTCTGGGGATGAGTCATATTTTATTTCAATTTTCACCAGCTTTATCTTGATTAGTTTTTTATGTTCAATTAAACTTAAGAGTACAGAACAGACAGAATTCGCTTACTTTCAGAAGTGTGATAGTTTAATAGGATTTTCACTGCAATCTGATCATCTGTAAAATATTGGCACCATCTTTCCCAGTCACATTTATCAAAAATGTGTAGTATATCAATAACTCAGAGATAAAAGATAGACCCATCTGCAGACCTTTTTTTTTGGTGAAGTTGTTTCATTGGACCTTGAGGCTCATGCTCTCTGTCCACCCCTCCAGGTGAATGGAATCAACCTCTTGGGCAAAACCAAAGAGGAGGTGATTCTACTTCTGCTTGGTGTCCATGGCGATGTGCACCTTGTTCTCCGAATGAGCTCAGGTAAGTCTCACCGCGCAATATCTGACTGGGGCCTTGGTTTTGATGGCTAGCAGAAAACATCAGTCATTTCCAGATTTTCGGCTGGGAGTTCAAAGCTAAAAGTGTGGTCAAAGGGGTTGAAATTTTACTTCATAGTCTTTTGCTTAACCACTTGCTGCCGGGTTGTTTGAAAAATGTAGTACACACATACGGGACATTTTCAAGATTTTCTTTTTGCAGAATTCTTAAAAAATTCATCATTTCAATTAATGGATGTTTACACCAACATGAATGACTGTCTGGTGGCTACTCTAATCTGACAGACAAAATCTATTGACGCTTGAGTATTTCAGCCAAGCTTGCAGCCTTGTAAAAAGAGCCCAGATTGTGCGGTGTTATGTAGTTTTCTTTTGTTCACGAACCTGGCACAGAGCGCTGCTGACCTCTTTCAATAGGGGCCAGATCAGCGTGCAGTGGTGCTGTGTGGCTCATCGCTGCGGTGGTGGAGCGCTTTTGTCCCCGGTGGATATCCGCTCGCACTAAATGCCCCAAAACATGGTATACTGTTCAAAACAAGGTTGAATTATCTCCATGATTGAGAGTAAAAAATGTTGGTATTGCCTAGCCGCCTGATCTTTTGTTATGAGTATGGTCTTTTGTTACAAGGCCCAGTTCCCTTTGTCCGATTTCAGAGACCCCGGCCACGCGTATAAAGAATACGTTTCTTGTCCCGGCAACCCCGGCGGCAAGTGGTTAATGGTGATATGAAATAAATATTTCACAGTTCTATGAAAAGTTTGATATAAAATGAACAAACTTGCAAGACTAGAAGTAAATCACTTAAACAAAACTAAAATGGTTGCTTTATAAGCAACGTTAGATTACATCGAGAAATTGAATGGAACAAGATTTGACCCTTGAAGTTTCACCTTCAGATCAAACAAATGAATAAGTTGGAAGATTATCAACATACAAGGAGAAAGCTCAGCTGGTGGAGCCAATGGTACAGTATTTAACCAAATGTAGAAAGAACTACCTGCTTATGTATCTTCTTCCACTTGTGCAATTGTGTTTCATCACTTTCTGTTTAAAGGAAATACGAGTAGGTCTTACCCATGTACGTGTTGAGCAGCTGTGAACTCAAACATCTGACTTCAAGATTTTAAACAGATGTTTTGGTTTTGGTAAAATTTTTGTCTTTGCTTGTCCATCAGCTTACAAGCACGTGCTGCACGGAGGCATCGGGGATCGGTTCTTCGTCCGTGTCCACTTCAACTACACCCCGCTGTCCCCTGGCGAGATGGGCTTCACCAAGGGGAACGTTTTCCGTGTGCTGGACACCATGCCGGAGGGGGTGGTGGGCCAGTGGTATGTGCTGCGGCTTGACCGTACCAATGTGGCCCTGGAGAGAGGGATCATTCCCAACGAGAGCAGGTACAGAAACACTGCTTTGCAGGCAGTGTGAAACTGACCAAAGATTTACACAATTGGTTTTTATTAAAAATTAAGTTCTTGCAACCTGTTCACTGACTGAGGGACTTGATATCTACCATTTGCAAGAGTCAGGTGACATGACTGTTTTGTAAATTTCAGCAGAATGTTTTTATTGGCCTTCGTGTAAAAAAATTTTTTCTCAGATCAAAATGTGTGGCATATTCCAACATAGGATAGTGTTTAGTATAATTGTTCTTTATAGAGTCCTGGACAGAAACTTGATGTTGAAGTTTTTGTCCACCGCCAGTCCAAAAAGAACAGTTGTAAGCTCTCTGTGCACATGTAGATGGTGAGCTTATTATGATAGTATGTGGCAATCATAGGTTTGCACATGTATGCATGGCACAGATTGTGCGCATTCCACTTCTCGTCAGAGTATGCACAAACAGGTAACCTCTGCATATTACAGGACACACTACAGGAATGATGCACAGTAACTTTTTTCAAATATTTTTAGAACAGTCATGCTCAAAAGTCTGTGTAGTTGTCATCTTTTGCTGTGATTCCCACTTTCCTAATTTGACAGAGCTAGCCAGTTAAATGCCGCTGCTAAGGTTGAGGAAGCCAACGCCCTGAAGCCGGCCACCTACGAGGGCCGTAAGGCCAAGTTTAAGCGGCTGGGCATGCGGGCCAGCATGCGAACCAAGACCCTCATCAAGGACGAGTGGGACGAGATCATCTTTGGTGAGAGTCCTTTTGAGCTCTAGCTTGGTGCCATGAATTATCCCCCGGAGTCAAAAACTTTCCCACTCGGTGATGTTCATTTGCTGGTACAGACGTATCAAATTGTCGGATATAACAGCTCATATTTAGGAGTGCCGCCGTACGGTTCTAACAGTTAACATATAAAACTAACTCTATAGCATAAGATGTAGCCACCCACAGAAAAGAAGTCAAGATGTGAAAAAAAGTCATGGGAATCCTCAACTTACACTCCGTGTATAAGATTTCACAAGACCCATAAATCTGAATAAAGTTATATTACGTTGCAAGAATGAAACACTGATGGCTGGAAAACCTATAGTGTGAGCTTTCATTTGGTATGTGACGAAGTTCAGCCCACACCATGCTGGAGCCATGGCATTTTTTGATATTAATTGGTTCTGTGGAATTCAACTTAGCACAACTGAGAAAACAGGCTTTGAAAAGTTGAGTCAGATACAGACTTACGCTTGAGGGACTTGCCTTAAATCTCCCTAACAACCAATCTTTTGAGCATGTCTGTTTTTTCAAACCTGAAACTAAAGACATCAAAGATGTCCTTTTTTTTTTAAAGAAAACAAAAACATGAATTTCCACAAGAAGTCCACCCTCTCAACGTTGAGCAGGGCATTGCACGGAAGGGCCTGCCGTAAGGGAAACCTATTTTTTCCTGAGATGGGTCACAATTAACTCAAATCATCGGAGATGGTTCCAAGAGCTAACAACTCTCAGCTGGTCCATTGTCTTCATTTTTAGTAAAGCATACCAATTCCCCCTTAGAAGGATTGCATTTAACCAGTTTCTAGCAGTTTTTACCCTCTGTATGATTAAAACAAAAACCATTAGGTTTTTCATTATTTCATCGCCTGCAGGTGGCAGTGTGTTGAAGTTCCCTGGTTACGAGCGTGTAATCTTGAGAGAAGGTAAGCAACTGGTAACGGAATACAGAGAGCGATCCCGTTCACATGTACTTTACATCTTTTGCTCTTCAAGTCAAAAATAGATTATGCAAAGGTGAATGAAATCATTTTGATAGTTGCATCAATTGTGAAGAGCCAAGATTTTTTACATCTTATTCAAGTATCCTGTGCACGGCAAACTCATTTGAACTGTGTACACAAACAAGTAGTTTTGGAGTCAATCCCAAATGGAACCACAGCTCCTGGAAAAAAGGGGGGGAACTGCCCAAGTGTCTCTGGAAGCAGGTCAGAGATGGATGTCATAAAAGCTCGTCATGCATCACAATATTTATAAGATAAGTTCTTGTCTGATTCTGTGTAAATACTGTCCACTAAATACTGTGATATTAAGAAATTGCCTTTTCAATTCTTTTTGCCTTGTAGTTGGTTTCACTCGTCCTGTGGTTATCTTTGGAGCTGTCGCTGATCTGGTCCGGGACAGATTGCTGCAAGAAATGCCTGATAAATTTGAGTCTCCTCGTAAGTATTCGTTAGTTGGCAAGTGAAGAAACAAGTTTTGTTTGACGTGACAGCAGTTTGTCCCAACTCCAAATTCTCTCAACATTAAACAACCATTATTTCCTCTCGAAGATTCCAGTCTACTGTAGGCTAATCCTTGCTAAATCCATCACCTGTTTATGTGGATACCTGTTGTCAGAAAGAAGTTGGGGAACTGTGGTAAAATAACTTGCTCAGGTACATAGCATGGGACTAACCCCCCTGTTTTTTAACCCCAACTTTTCAATCACTGAGTTAACAACCATTGAACCAATTCGCCATTGCAGCTAGCACTAGATATGAAAATAACACCTGTGAGCTTGGTTGATTTTGACATTTGTCTGTACAGTGATGAGCCACACTCTGGACAGCAAGCCAGGTGAACCTATGCACATGAACCCCCAGCGGTCCATAAAGCTGCATGCTATCAAAGACATCATGGACAAGGTAAGCTATTTGGAATTAATCTTGTTTAGCTTCTCCCATAAATGGAGACCTATGTTTCCACTTCAGTGGTTGCCATTTTCCCTGATGAGTTGGCTTTTCCGTCATATTTACTCAAAATTTAAACAAGGCTCGAGGCAGTTGTCGTAGATGTACATGCATGACTCGGTTGCCCGTGTCTGTCCATTGAGCAACTCTGAAAGAGTTGGAATGTGTGCACAACTTGCTTTAGTCTTGACTGGTGATGATGTCTAATTTGGTTCCAATTTTTCCTTAAACTGAGGCTAGATGTGTCAGCTCTGCTTGCAGGAATATACCTGCCACATCCTCTACAGTCATTCCAATTCTAGAGAACACAGAGAAGCAGTGTTTTGCCAGCTAGCCAGTGTAATGGTCATTTAGGAAAATGGTGGATAGTCATAACACTGAATGAGCAATAGTAACAGATGAGATTGAGACAAATGATTTTCCTTTATTTGAGGTAGTGACGTGCTGAACAGGGCCTTCATTTGTGCAATCGAGAGTTTACACAGTTTGAACCTTTTTTTTTTCATTGATCTCCACTTATTTAAGAATCTCTTCTTGCCCGCCGTGGCCCATGTTGTCACCTCTCTCAAAGTCGCATTAATGTCATTGTCCTTGTCATCCAGGGCAAGCACTGTTTGCTGGACATCACCCCGAATGCCGTGGAGCAGCTGAACTACGCCCAGTGCTACCCCATCGTCATCTTCCTCAATGCCGAGAGCCGCGCCCATGTCAAGGAGATTCGAGGCCAGTTCATCGGAGAGGGCCGGGAGAACAAGGGTTCACGCAAGTACTACCAGACCGCCAAGAAGATGCGGAAACACTACTCCCATGTATTCACAGGTAGGCCAGAGGAAGAAATAAAAATAAATTCTCCGATGATTAATCAAATCTCTACCTTCTCAAATTTGTCAAAATCCACATCCAGGTCTGGGAAGATTGTGCAGGATTGTAGAGGTAGAGGCCAGCCACTGTGAACTTTGCTCGAGCCTTGATGCCTTTTGAAAACTTAGTGCAAGGAATGTATTAATGTTGACTTTCAGATGTGCCTACGGGACGATTTGAAATTCACAAAGGTCAAATATGTCTTAGCAAAATGCCATTTTCAGTTAAAGTTAAATGCACTTGTTTTAGGTCCACGCGTCATTCTGCAATCATGAATGAAGTATGTGAAATAGAGATTAATATTTCTCTCAATTTTTTGTACATTACTTTGGTTGGTTTTCCTTTTTCCCTAGCCATGATTCCAGTCAATCCGGATAGTATGTGGTACAGCCAGATCAAGGAGGCAGTTCACATCCAACAGAACCGTAAAATCTGGGTGTCTGAGGCCAAGGTGTGCATATTTCTGGTGTTTCAGTTGTGTTCGCATTTGTCTGATTTCATTGAAAAAGATGATTCCAATTCGGTCCTTTGCTAGCTACCAAGCGCTTTATCCATGACCTGGTTTTTGGGTTCATTTGTCTGGAAAAGAATCACCCAACCACAGAGTAGTGTGCCTCTGAGGTAACATCACTGGAACAGTGTCATTAGATTATAACTTGTATTATGTAAATCTTGAAAAGAAAAGGTGCTCTGAAAAGCATTTTATACAAAAAATCATCTTATTTTAATATAGTTCAAATGAATAGATATTTACATTATGTTTGAGTGTGAAATTCATTTTAGGTCCTCATGATAGTAGGCCTTAGGAGTTTAACTGTATGTGGATGATTCAGTTCATACTTCCGGTCACATTTTTGGCTCTTTTGGGGATTCTTTCTCTGATGGTATTGTGATGTGAATAATGTACCTCAACTTCTTCCCACAATGCTTTGCAGCTTGGCGAGGACCTCGATGTGGACACTACACTGAATGTGATTGGTCAGTTGACGCTGCCTCCAGACTACGAGAGTGATGCCGAGTCAGTCCTCACCAGTGACTCACGGTCCATGTTTAATGACAGCACGGTGGAGTCCGATATTGAGCCAGTGTCACCAACTGACACCGCCAAGGACGACAGTTTCAACTTCACAGAAGAAGCCTTCGAGAAGAAAGAGGTACTTATGGTTTAGAATACTCTACCCATTCAAACGTGTAAACTTAGGAAAGATTGAGCAGCAACAGTGAAAATCAGTGAAAAAGTCAAATATGGTGAGCATTTACCAGCTGTTGGGAACCCCACAATCATCAAAAGATGATTGTCAGGTTCCCTTCACTTGTCAGAGTAGACTGATCCAGTAAGCCCGCCGACTGCATACATGTGCACTTAGCACATGCTCTCCTCCAGTGCCGTACTATTGGCTCCAGCTGAAGTATGATGTGCACCTGCAGACGTCAGACTTTAGTGCACGCATTGGACATAAATCACTGCTTTGATCGGTCAGAAAACAATGGGGCGGGGCTTAAAATGGCTCGGTCTATTGACTCAGTGTGAATCTGAGACAGGCCAAGGGCAGGGCAGGGCATATCGGCAAGGATCGTCTTTTGTATTTGAGTTGTTTAGTTACCATGTTTTATGGTTTGTACATTTGTGTGTTTTCCAGGAATTACCAGTGTCAGCTGTTGTTCCTCCTGAACCACGCTACTCCTCAGATGAAGAAATCGAAAAGCCGGTCATCCGCAGCAGCCGGCCTCGCCACAAGAAGAGATCAGACAAGCAGCGCTCAGAGCCCAGACCTCCCAGCAAGGAACGCGGGCTCCTAGGCCGGTTCCCGTCCCTCAGCCGCTCTGAGTCCCGCGGCCGCCACTCGGAGATCGAGGACCTGGACGACGAGGACCTGGACGACAGCACCAATGCCAACAAGTACAACGTAGACTCCCGCAAGCGGTATGCGGACCGCCTGGAGGCGGCCTTCACCCCAACCGAACGCCCCTCCCGACGTGAGCACATGAAGCGGCGGGAGGTGCTGGAGAAGGAGAAGCTGGCCAAGGAGGAGGAGGCTGTCAAGCGTGCAGAGAGGATCAACGCTGCGGCCTCTCAGCCGGGCACCCACTCTGCTCCCCCTCCCGAGTCGGTCACCCCTGCCCCACCCCAGCAGGTCACCCGTGCTACCCCGTCCCTGCCAGGTGCTGTCAAACTCCCCCAGCTGGACCAGCCCCAAACAAGAGGCCAGCGCCCTGTGCCAGCACCAAAGCCGACCCTCAGCCGGCCCACCACAGTCCCTCCTGCAGCACCAGACAGCAAACCTCAGCTCAAGCCCAGAGAACCCCCCAAAGAGACCACATTTGGGCTGAAAGAGACTACGTTTGGAGTGGACGATGTGATCGAGACCAGCCCCGCAGGTGAGCCTTTCCCAAACTCTCCCAACTCCCAAACCAAGGTTTTTGTCTTTCACTTCTCACAACTCCAGACTCCAACCAGGGTCTGTCATCTTTAGGCAAGCCCATTACCCTGTCTTTCACCTTGTGTCTCCTTCAGTGACTCCCAGCATCAAGGAGACCACGTTTGATGGCCCACAAGGGCTCCAGTGGGCCGTGGAATTTGATGCGCCTAACCTGATGGAGGAGCCCCATCTCTTGGAGGCGCCCCCCATCCCTCCCAAGCCAGCCATAACTGAGCCGGTCTACGCCTCAGTGAAAAAGGATCGCCCCCAGCGTAGCTCAGACACCTCGGAGCCCTCCACTAGTAGCCTGGACCCCCCTCAGAGATACGAACCTCCACGAAGTCCGGACTCCACCGAGACTGGAGGTGGGTCATACCACACTAATGATGGAGTTTATGTATATGGCATGGAAGTATGAAAGTAAAAGTAGCTCTAGTTACAACATTTTTAAATATCTTAAAAACACCTGCATGTTGTTAAATCATTTTAACGTAATTTTCATTGCTGTTGATGTACATATATGTTTATTGTAAGTAAAACTTAACCAAAAAATTAGTCATCGTAATCCCATTATCACAGGTGATCAAGGCCAGGATCGAGATATTCATCTGCGTCCCTAACTGTTATAGATACTTCACCTGGGAAAAATATGAAGTTGTGTAAATGAGGCAGACATTTGTTTTTTTATGCAGCTAGATCTTGAGATGTTTTTCTACGTACAAAATTAGGCTGAGGCTTTTTTACTTGTTCCTATTTGATATCGTGTAATCAGGGATCCAGCTAAATGCATATTTCAAGTGAAATGTGCACTTCTGCGGCCACATACTTTTTATGCAATGCTAATGCAACTTTTTTCATACTGGTTGCTCAAGATTCTAGCCAGAGTTTGTGAAAATTTGCCATTTGATGAGGCAACTGGAACCCTGGTAATACACCATGGTGGAAGAGCGTAACTATTCAAAAAACTTATTACATTCATAAGATGACATTTTGGAGTCAGCCTTGGCAAAAGTTACTGATTTTTATACGAGTCACAAGCATTCCATGTCGCATAAAGTTAAAAAAAAGTCAATACACAGAATGAAATTAACAACAAGTGTAGGTCAGAGACAACCTGATCATGTGTAGATTTCTGTAAATTTCAAATTTAATCATTTTACATTTCTCTAGGAACAAATTGCAAATAATTGTAACATATAACTTTATGTTCATGCCCAATTTAGATCACCCCTTAAGAATGGAACCAACAGATTCAAATCTTATTGAAAGCAGGCTGAATGAAAGTCAGTATTTTTAGGCATCATTAAGCAGTCGGATATTGGCCTTAATATACATTGTACATTTAACCATATTGAGACCAAAATCTGGCAATTTGTAATATATTACGTATGTTTTTATCGCTTACTCCCCAAGATGAAGTTCTTTTTCTTCCCAACCCAAGTGATGCAGTTTTTATTACAGAATCCCGTCGGATAAAGTATGGTGGTATGGATTACAGAGTAGCTTATCACAGGCTTTGTGGGATACTTAAACATTGCTTCTTTTCTCAACCGTACAATATATGTGCATACCCCACGTTATCCTGTTAGACTGGAAGAGGCCAGAGCCCCCTCAGCCAATTAATGGACTGTCATCCTTGGACGAGCCACCGAAGTCTTGGCGCGTTGAGCCAGAGATTGAACAGCGCCCCCTGGAGATCCAAGAAAGTGCCCCGCCTACTTGGAAGGTGGAATCACCCTATGAGCTGGTGGACGAGAGCCGAGACCGGCCCCGGTATGACGAGAGGCCCCAGTATGACGAGAGGCCTCAATATGATGAGAGACGCCAGCAGGAGAAGCCCCAGTTTGAGGAAAAGGTCCAGTTTGAGGAAAGGCCCCAGTTTGAGGAGAGGCCCCAGTTTGAGGAGAGGCCACAGATCACCCAGCCAGAGCCCAAGATGGTCAGCGTCCGCTCCACTTTCGTGGAGACATCTGTGCAGCGCGTTGACCGCCTCGAGGACTGGGACCGCCCTGCCCTGGGCAGGGATTCGCCCTCTATCACGGCCCAGGCACAGAGCATGGACTACTCAGAGCCACCCTCCACTACCGACTACCGCAAACAGATGCAGAGCGCCTTCAGCAAGCTGCAGAAGGTCCGGGAGAGCCCCCGCCCCTGGGAGCGTGAGCGACCCATTGGGAGGAGCAGCCCCAGTGTTGAAGCCAGCATCCAGCCCAACCAACAGGAATACCAGCAGGCGGCCCCAAGCCGCGAGCCCCCCAATGGCCTGTCGGACTCGGCCCCATCTTCAGACGCAGACAAGTATGGCCATATCCCCGATGGGAAGCCAGCGGACCCGGAACCCAAGAAGCCGCCGTATGACCGCCAGTCCTACAAAGAGTACCGTGAGGCCTTCTTTAAGAGGTCCAAGTCCCCAGGCAGGCAGTATCAAGATAACCTCTATGCTCCCAAGGGATGGGCCAGCAGGAAGAAAGAGAAGAACAACAACCCAGCCTCATTCTGGTCAATTCCTATTAGGTAAGTCAGATAGGGGAAGGGCAATTGGAGTTGGCAGCCAAAATGGCCATAAATCATTGGTCACACCAAGAAGTGACTTATCATGTGCAGTTGCCATACCACGAAACTCAGATATATTATGTACACAATGTCTGTGCACAGTGGGTCAGTTTTTGATACTCCAGTACTATCATGTCACAAAATAAACACACTACCAACTGTACTGACTACAGTATACAGGGTGGAATTTTATGACAAAGTTCACAGCTTTACATATCAAGGGATTTCCAGATGTATTGTCAAAGCTACATGTCCTTTGGCAAAAGTTTCAATTTTGGGTGTACATGCATATTTCATTTCTTATCCCGTCTTCGCTCATGAAGGGCAGTAAATGGATTTTGTAAGGGAAAGTGTAGCACTACGACTTGCATTACTTATAATTCAAAAATGCTGCATATTGACGACTGCAATTAAAATTGTGACTTCTAGTTCTAACTAATTAATCTTGCATGCCGCAAGAGATTCACATAAGACACATGTGAATTGCAGAGATTTGCAGAGTCTGTTGCCAGATTTTTTTGCCATTTCACAATTGCAGTGAAATTAAGGGCTACTCATTCTAACCTGTTAACTTTCCCCAGTGAGGAGAGCCTGAAGGCCGACGAGGGGCATGAAGTCTTGGACACTGCCCGGGGCTTCTTTGACCACAACAGCGGCGTCCTGTCATCAGTCAGCACAGGCGTCAGCATCGTCATCCCCAAGGGGGCATTACCGGAGGGCGTCCGGCAAGAGATCTTCTTCAAGGTGTGCCGTGACACCAACATGCTGCCGCCGCTGGACAAGGATAAAGGTGAGAGATCAGGAGATCTTTGGAAGGTCGTTTTTCCACGTAATTGTTGACCAGAGAAGTTTGAAATGGGTTATGAGATGCTTGGCACTGCAAATGGTAACCTGTTTTGAAGGTATCCTCTGATTGGTTTCTTCATCTCACTGCTTTGGAAGTGCTACTGATTGATTCCTGAAACCTGATTTTTCCTTTCTCTCTTCTCCAACTGCTTTTGAAGTTTGTGTAAAAACTGTGCACCGGAGCGTTGACTGGGTTGGAAACTTAAACACAAAAGTGTGTAACGGGACCCAGTATAGAGTTGCCAAAAAGAGACTTTAAAAAAAAAAAGTTGATAGCTAGATCAAGGCTTTCTTCAGTTGTAATTTTTGATGTGATCACATTCTTGAGGTCAATTTTACATTTGCTGAATACAAAGTTAAACTATGCACTTCTCAGGTGAAGCCTGTGTTACTGGTACCTATTGGTTTATCCAGACAGACAAGCGATCTTTTGCTTCTTGTAATGTGTCTAAGTCATCTCCTTCTAAAAGCCAATCGGCATTGACCCTACTCAATGTTTGAGTGCCAAGACAAAGAAGCACATACATGTTCTTGTTAATCCATTTTTTTTTAAAATTGGCATTCTAATTCAAATTTGTTCACATATTAGTACACTCCCAGCCTCAAGAGTGTATGTGTTGTATGGTACTTGCCCTTTAGTTTAAAGGACTAACTGATCATTTGTGTACCTGACTTAACCCATCAGCCAGTCATTCATGTCCTTTTGTCATCTTAACACCAACCCCCTCCACTCCAAAACTGAACGATTGAAATTCCATGCCCAATGACAAGTTTATCCATTTTGTGTTCCGCCCATAACCAACATGCAGTATGCTCCAGTCCACATGGTGCCGTGCATGTTTAAGAGTGGTGAGAAATTGTTTGTATTAAAATGGTTTGAGACTCCCTCATCTGCCCTAAAATTTTGATTTAAATCAAAAAGAAGCTTTGGTTTGAATTGTGAACTTAGGTAAATTCTCGTGTGCCCCCTGTTTTTGACAATTGTAGTCATAAATATTACCATTGGTGACTTCAGATCACTGCTTGGCAGCGTGATGGTGTTTCCAGGGAATCTCACATGCACCGATCCCTTTCACTTCTTAACCCCAACAACCCTGTTGTTGGCAGCAGAATGCATCATTGGGCAGTCAATGTTGGGTCACGGTCGGTGGTGGATCTGAATGTATTCAATCTTTGGCAATTTCCAGTGGGATATGCTGAACCCAGTAGTGAAGAAAGGCTTCTTCTGTGTAGCTGTCAGATTTTGTGGGATTTAGGAGGGTGCCTCAGGTAGCAAAATGCCTGCATACATAACGCAGGTTTGCTGATGGGTTAAGGTTTGCTTTCATGCACATGACTAAGGTCAAATTAAAAGTTTTCCTCAGTTTCATGAAAGGAGTCGTTGGCAGGCAATTTCACAGAACTTGGTATAACTTCACACCATGCATAAGCCTTGCACCCCTAATTTATGCCACAGCTGCAATCGTTATACTCGTGGTTGATTTTATGTAAAGTTTCTTACCTGCACAATGTTTGCATTATAATGGCTTTCTAGGATGAGAAAAATCCTGACTTTTACAACGACTGTCTCTTTTCAGTATTACAGCAGTCATTAGGCAGTTATTACATTAGCTCTGCCTGCGATTTTGAAAATGGTTTTGTCTGTTTTTTCGTCAGAACCGGGAAGTGAATCAAAAGTTCTGTCATGGCCAAACAAGTTTTTGATTATCTCCAAAAATTAATTAGTTGCGCATTTCTAGTATAAATCTTGTTCAATACGGCTGTTTCACAATAGTGCGCCACCGAGAGTTTGCAACATGTTGGCCAATCACAATGCGCGAAAGTTGTCGATCAGATGCGCGTTTGGGAAGGGTTGACAAATTTCGCGTGTTATGATTGGCCAACATGTTGCAAACTCTTGGTGGCGCACTATTTGGAATCGCCCGTATTAATCGTGTACGTATTGCAAAACTTTTGTGAAATGTCTGATAATTTGTCGTGCAGCTAATATGCAGTAAAATTTGGGGTGCAAGTGCAGTTATGCCATTACGTAAAGTTTCTTAAAATTAGCTGCCGAACTGTGCCCAGATGAGAATCGCTCTATGTCTGTTACGTGCACATTCAAAATCCTGGCACATGTACATTAGCAGTGCAGGACTATTGCACTTCAAATCTTCTGTAATTGTTTTTTAGGTGAGGACCTTCGCCCTGTTACTACAGATAAACCTCATGGTATTGAGGCTGCCATCTATTTAGGTATAAAATTTTAAGTTGGGACTCAATTTGCATTTGGGGTGGCCTCTGCACTAACACCAGTTATGTGTACACCTTCTTCTTTCTGGAATTGGTTGTCTGAAACTCTGATTGGTTGGCTGTAAGCTTTTCTTAAATGCATGGCAGATGATGTGATCATTGGTCAATTTATTGTACATTGCATTGTGAAAAGTGAGAACGATCTCTTATGCTAATGTTAGTGATGAAACAAAAATATCTGTGTTATTCAACAGAGTTGGAAAAATGGTTATTGATTAGACATAAAGGCTTACCAAACTAGAGGGGTTATCTCACTTCAATCTTGGCTTTGTTTCTAACTTGGCTTAAATTTCTGTTAAGTCTACTGTATATATGCATACCCCACGGTGGATATAACCCAATTCCCAAGGCTGTTGTCATTTTGCATGCACTAACAGCTAACAAGCCGATCACTGAGGAGCTAACGCTTTCTCTTTTAACGCTTTCCCTTTTAACTTTTCTTTCTCCATTAATGCTAATAAAATGTTTTTTTCTGACTCTTCCAAAACCTGGCACTGTCCAGGATCATGGCACATTCTTTGTACCAAGAATTTCAAGGGGGAACCATTTCCAGTGTTAAGTACTAGTGGCTGGGATCCAACCTGTATAGACTTGTTTATAGGAGGAAATCCAATCCTGCAATATCTTCTACTACCACATGAGGTGGAATTTGAAGGACCAGAGATGAGATGGGGGGGTGGGGAGACAAGGTTTGGAGGGCGGTCAAGGGTTTAATGTCCCTTCCATGAAAACCACAATTTATTTCAGGATGTATTTCCAAGTTCTCTGAGGTTATTATAGAATATTTTTGTTTTGACGTTTGTCAATCTCCTGGAAGGAAAATAGCATATGAATAAAAAACACTTCAGTCTACTTCAATTTTCAGGTCTGTGAGGTCATCTGCTTTTTTGCATTTTACAGAAATTGGTACATGTTTTCAAAGGGTCATTTCCCCCCCCCCTCCCCCAGACCAATTTCTGACCCATTTTTATTCAGATGTGTGTACACATACATGTACTACTACATGCACTTGTATGTGTGTTTGTTATTTGTGTTGTTGGCATGTTGAACCTCAAAAGTAAATTACCATTGCATGCATGCTCCCATCAACATTCCCTCTGCCACAATTCTACTGTGAATGCCTAGGGTCTATTGTGATCATATAAAGCTTGTGTAAACTTTGTCAAGTTCAGAGTTTGCCCAGAAAGACTACTTCAAGAAAGATCCATTATTAGTCACTTACTCGCATTCCGATCTTAATCCCCTCCCTCAGAGTATGGATTTAGTGACCTGCAAATTGTGTACCCTTTCCTTCGTGGAATCATGTCTGAAGTCATCTTGGCATCAGCAGATACAAGTACTTTGTCATTGCACTCGTGAAGTTGAACTGTATTCACGGCCAAATATTTTCAAGCCTGGACTTTTTTTACCAGATGCGAAGCCTCCAGCAACTTGCTTTTAAAAAAAATACTTTCTTGAATGTTTTTCCCTGTCTTTACTTGAGTTACTTCCTGGCCTATGATGTAGCCGAGGTTAATTTGATTTTAGAACGTAGCACTTTGCTTGTATCAGACATCTCAAATTTTGCACATTTCATATGCTAGTCTTTGCTTAACCAGACCACCACTCTTGTAAACACTACCAGTCTCCACTGTGTTATTAGATTTTTTTCTGTTGCAGCAAGCACACAGATCATAACAGTGTGTTTATAAAAACCTCTTAATTAATACATCTCAAATGTAATCTCTCAATGAAAACTGATACATGTAGATGGGCTCACTCGACTTGTCTTTGGTCTTGGGTAAATTCACATGTTCCTTCCCCCATAGCTTAGCTCAGACGACGACATGAGAATTGCTTCATGCATTTTGCTTGGAGTATTTTCCACAAACAAAAGTGAAAGCAATTTAATAGAACTGTCCTATTTACACTTTACCTTTGTCGAAAAGAAATTGGTCAAAGATGGGAATCGGATTGTCCCATTCGAAAAAAATCCTGATTTTTTGTTTGTTTTATTTCTGTGCATATAGGCGAGACCCTCTTGAGTCCTGTGGTCATCTGCAAGCCCCACGGCCTGAAGTTCCTCAACCCTGTTGAGCTGCGACTGCCCCACTGTGCTTCCATGACGCCTGACGGCTGGTCCTTCAATCTCAAGTCCAGCGACGCCGGCTCTGGAAGTAAGTTTGTTAATGCATTTTGTGTGCATCCAACGGGGCAAGCATCAGTTACACTGGATGAAGATACGTGATACAAGAAGAAGATAGAGAAAAAAAATGCTCAGTTTTAGGAATGGGAGGAAAACCCTGTATAAGGGATCCAGGAAAATGCCGTGGGATCAAGTAAGGACTGAAAACCTAATCGAAATGCTGACCAAGCAGGATCTGAACTTCGGGTCGCAGTGGTAGGACAGAGAAGCACCATTACACCTAGCTTACTTCTTTAAGTTGTGAGCCAAGATATCTCTGAAATCCATCAATCTTTATTTTGCTATTACGCCAATTCTCGCTGGCTGGCTAAGAGTACAGAAACTGAAAGAAGCAAATTTTAAAGCACAAAATAATGAAAACTGGTAAATACGACATAAAAAATCCCTCCTGCGGATGATGTAAGAAAGTGCATTTGCGGCAAAGGTTGTTACCAACCAAAGGGGTAACTTTCCGCAAACTTTTGTTGCCCTTACAAAATGGCAGTCAATGTTTGTTAACTAAAGAAAGGGCTAGTGGTTGCTGTCCGTCTTGGCAGTGCTACTAACCCTCTTGAAGTCAAGTTGGTCTCATGTTGCAAGTGCACTGACTCACAGAACACAGTTGGCCCCACTTTGAAAAGGTCATAAAGGCAACAGCCAATCGATGGTTCCCAGATTCCACATCGGTAGTGAGATATCAAGGTTTTATTGACAAGGTCCATATTGACCAGATCGATAACAGACTTCCAGAGCTGTTGTCAGACGTGTTCAGAGAACTTTGTAACTACAGTAAAAAAATTCCATGTCTAGCTCTAGATGCAAGATTCAGATCAAGCTCAGCCGTGAATGTTGTTTGTGTTCAGTGGCTCTGAAAAGAGGGTATTCCAAGCAGTGTACATGTATATATCTTTTGATATTAACTGGGCCAACATGTTATATGTGTTGTTGACTTTTCTTTCATATTTTCTATGTTGTTCCACTTTTTTGCTTCAGATGTCCCAACCCAGTGGGAGAACATGGTCATACCGGGCAACGAAGAGAGCAAATGCCAGGTCAATGCTAACAGCGTCTCTATCTTAGTGGATCACTTCTAGACTTGTTAGTTCATATCTCCAATGCAGTCCCAGCAAAGTGTTCAGAACAATTTTTTGGTTGTCACCTAAAAAAAAAAAAAGACAACTAAGGAGTGATATATGGGTAGTGGTAAACTGGTTTTGGTCATACATGCAGTGTTTACATTCATGATTCAACATTCCTGCCAACGTATCCCAGGTTCATTTTCATGTGCATCCATCAAGGAGTTGTATTTGCGCATGTTTGGCCTGCATGCTTCACTTACGCTCATGGGTGAACTAGGTGTTTATTCCTGTAGAAAATGGGTTCACCCAACTCCAGTGTAGACCTTGTTTGGTTTGATGTAAGCTTCTTTGATACAGCACAAGAACTGCACAGCCTAATCAAATTAGGTAGGCCAAGTTGGAGGCACATTTCACTTGTCTATATGCACTGTTCTGGTGGTCATTGGTTTGTACATGCCAAGTTAGTTGGTACCTAAGATGGGTGGATGCTTAGTTTTACAGTGATAATGCATTGAGGGCACTCGGTTTCAGCCATGCCCTGCAGTTTTAGCATTTAGTCGTATGCTGCATACCAAAGAAGTGCCCCAACACTGCTGGTAATGTTTGGTAATTTCACCACAGGGGATACCATTGTTGCTACGCAACTCCAGCTTGCCGTGGGTGGTTAGATGCCAGCTCAGCAAGACATAGATATTCACATTCAAAATGTTTGCAAGTGTTTAGATAGCAAGTTAAGACAGAGAATGAATTCTGAACCAGGTGTTTGTTTTTCTAAAATAATTTTTTTTTAAATTTAAAGAAGATGAAATTGACCTCGCGAAGGCTTTGAATTTGAAAGTTTATCACTTGGGACCAAGTCGGCAATAGAACGTGACTGAAAACCGCCATGTTACATTGACCTTTTCCCTTCCAATTCTCTGCTCTGTTCTAATCTCTTTGTTTGACCCTAGTTATGACTGTTTGTTCAAGTATCATTTGTATATATAAGTGTAGATCTAAATCTGGGAAGTACAGTGCACTAAGTTCCATTCCTCATTTTTTAAATCATTCCTAAACCATTCAGTGATCTGAATTTAAAGAAATGCATGGGACGTACCAATACACAAATTCATCATAACAGCATTGAGATGTTATAGGTGGCTGAAAAGTCCAGTAGTCTATCAGTGTGGAAAAAAAGCCAATGAAACAATGTCAAAATAAGCTCCAGTAATCCCATTTTATTTCCCCCAACAAATTGTGAACCAGCCTGTTACAATTAAGTTTGTAATGCTTATGTTAAAACAGTAGGTTTTGTTATTCACAAAGTAATGTATTCATTTCAAGGCACACGCATTCCATCATGCAGTGTTTTGTCCGTGTAGTGTCCTAAGGTACTTTGTATTAAATGCCAAAGCAGTCAGTATAATGTAGTGTCTGTATATTAATGAGTGGCAGATATCCCTGAAGGTAGCGTTAAGTTTTACATTTGATATTCATTGTGGAAATAAGGTTTTTTGTTCTTTTTTTGTTTTGGTTTTATTTTATTTTTATACATTTGATGCATGTATATAATCCTTGTAGCTGTAGAATTTCCGTGGAAAGTGATTGGTTGGAAAAGAAATTAATGATATAGTGTGTAACTAACGTTAATTGGATGACTTTTGTATGATATTCTAACATCTAGGTGGACACTTTCGACACTGAAAAATCTATTTTGTTAACAAGCGATATAAGTGTGAAAATTTTTTATACATGTTTTAAGGACATTGGGGGATTTATTTTTAAATGGATTTTTTTTAGCTGCGGTTGCTCAGTCTCATATATTGGTAGTCCGCTTGTCTCCAGTTTGTATTATGTTGTAGCAGGTTTATGTATATGTAGAATACACAAGAAACAGAGCAAAGACTAGATGTACTAGACACAACTATCCAGCAGCACATCTTGTATAGTACTTGCCGTGGTTGGCCAAATATTGCACACACATAGAACAGGATGAGCAAGTTTGCACAAGAACTGTACTTTGACTTGGTCGGACTTGTCTTAACCAACCATTGTCGATCTGCCGTCGATGGGGGGACCAGTCTAGTGGGAAGTGTGTTTGTAGAATCTGCCCTCTCCAGACTTTGCAACATCTTAATCAAATGACAGGTTGAGTTTAAATGAAATATTACTGAAGCATGAGAGTTTTCATTTTTACTGTCCAGGTGCCGACCAGGAAAGAGTTGTTTTCAAGCTAGCTCCATATGTTAATGTTCTTTAACATTGTCACTAATGTCCAATACCTTTGCAGTCCTAGCAAGTTTCCTTGAGAGGGCATTATGATTGTTAAAATCCCATTTGGGGAAGTGGAGATAAGTTTTTGCAGGAGTTTTTGTGTCCGTTCACTTTTTAAGTGGGATTTTTAAGTGTGTGTCTTACATTTTCTCTGAACATTTTTAGGCATTCCCCTGTATAATTTTGGCCCACCATCTTTCATTATCAGGATGTGTCTGAAATGGACATTGTTTGCCATGTGTGGCTTGCTGACAGTCAAAACAAGATACCGAGTCACTGTCTGATGTCAACGGTGGCAGACAGCAAGGGCTTGTGGTAAATGCAATGTCGAGTATAAAGGGAGGTAATGCCATGGAAAAACAGATGAACAAGTGCATCCCAAATCACAGTAGTGCCTTGTAGAGATTATTCAGTTTTATCCCCCCCCCTTTTAAGGTTAGAAAAGGGTCCCATTGGTGTCATTTGAAGGTTTCGTGGGGACTTCGAGTATAACATACATAGCTGAATAATAGCCGTGCCCGAAATGGGATTCACAAGAGCTACAGCTAGGCCTGTTGTTAGCGCGTCTCCGCATATTCTCAATGGAGTGAAGACCTAGATCTAGCTCTAGACAACAGACTTGGATGCAGCCCATGACTAGCATTTCAGAATGTGGATATTCAAATGATATAATGGATATTCAAATAATATGCTAATCTTTCTTTTGATTTGTAGATTTTTAAAATGTTAATCCCTATTTAAGTATTGTGTATCCTGACATTGTTTTGGATGATTTTACTCAGATATGCTAAACTTGAGATTGTATTTTTAGTAGCTGTATATATTCCTTACTGACTTTTTAAAAAAAAAGATCATTGTAGGTATTGAGTTGATCTTGTTCGGGAAGCCATTCTTTAAGATCTGTAAATGTACTTTGTTTTTGCATATGGTCATCAAACATATTTTTCTTTCCATCGGAAAATAACAGTTTTAACCATACAAATTTACAAAATTACACGTATGAATTAGCAGTGGAAACATGATATTTTGTTGGGTTTTCATTTTTTTCTTTTAACATTTGGGATCTGTGGAGAATTTTGTTATCAACAGCACATTGACGTAGAAGAGTTAATTGTTAGCTAGTGAATCATCAGTAAAGGCACCACTCAAATACTTGAGTGACCACGTTCATGTTAACTGATCGATCACTCACTCAGCTAACAATATCCAGTCAGCACTTGATCTTCAGTTTGAGAACAGGTGCTTTGCAGGAGTGAGTTAAGTGAACAAATGTTGTGAAGATTCATAAGAACCCGAGTTTGCTGAAACTGATCACTATTCTACGCCGTCATTATTCCAACAGATTGTCAACAGCAGTTTACTTGACGTAGGTTTTGTCATTTCATTTACTTTCTTTTCCTTTGTCATTTTACTCATGAAAGTTGTACATAAACATTGCAACCAATGTAGTGGCTAAGTTCAGTTTGGATCTAATATACTCGTTATGCATTATGAAGCATGTGATGTTCATTTAAAAAAAAAAGGATTTTGTAAGTCATTTCAACTGTTCGATTATTGGACACCAAACTGGGCCAAGGGTCTATGATTACCAGCTTGTAACTTTAGAGACCAGTACCAAATGTTTGATATTAAACCATTTAAAAGAGAGGAAGAGTAAACATTGTTATCAGTTTGCTTCATTTTGTACTTAAATTTGAAAATTTTGTTTTCCATTAAGGTTGGTTCAATTAGGGATAGTGTTTATCTCCACCACTCATGTTTGGGAGTTCACATTATTTCTGCCATGTATAAGACAGGCAGCGTAACAGATTTTACGATATGATTGAAAAAAAAAGACTAAACACTCTTTGAGTATGAGTAGCAAAAAAGAACAATGCGACTTCAAATCGGATGCGGACAATTTTTTTTCTTTTCAGAACCCCACATGCTCAAAGAGAGATATATCCAGGGTGCTACCTCTACCATGAAAAGCTTCATATCTCATCCAACGACAATTAATTACTCGTATTTTTGAAGGATAGCTATTTAATGTCTAATCACATTTCTCTTTTGTTCACAACCAAAACAGTTTTAAGAAAAAAATGTACATTTTACATGGTTTCACACAGATATCTGAAGACTTCTCCTACGGGATTTTAGCAACAAAAATGTAAATAAATAATGTAAACACTTCAAGTAGCATTTAATTACTACATTCTCAAACCTAATGAAAATGAAATATAAGAAAAAAACGTAACTACAATTGGTTATCATTTTCAAGAGCACCTCAAGAAAAGCATTGAAAAATATGAAATACATGTAAATGCATTTCTATTAAGAACAAAATAAAATGTCTGAATGCACAAAATCATATGTTGTGAAACAACAGTCAAACTAACGTTGCATACATGTACAGTTTAAAACAAGACCTAACACAGGAAAAAAATATACATAGAAAATAAAATGCATCTACTAGAAAAGTAACACACTCAAAATGCAACAAACGTACAATATCCTCACAGCTGAAACTTTGAACAAGCACGTAAGTGTTTCCCCAATAAAGTAAAAGTCACATTCCTTGCTATAAACTCCACCCACTTAGTAGAAAGACTGGAGATTAGTCTTGCTTCAAATACCACCACAATTGGCAATGAAGGATACAAAAGAAAATGGAATAATAAAGTATCATTGAACATCAATTTATACAGTAAGAGTTTAAAGTACCATTCATTTATTTTACACACTATTCTACTTTGGCTACCCATATTGGTTATATTCTGTTTTCACTTTGGTAACAATACACACTTGTTGATGATAAAACGCATAATTAGGAGATTCCCCAGCAAACCATCTGACCTTTCATCCAACCTCAAGCAACCTGTTTTCCTCAATCCTTCATCTATTCAAAAAGTGCAGGACCGTGCATTAAGCTATTTCCAACCTCCAGTGAAGAGGCTTTAAACTTTCTAAATTCCCCCTCGTGCAGTGTTGTGAGCAGCAGATCAGTAAGGACGTCTCTCAACAATTACAGTCAACTGTACTTTACTCACAATTACTCCTTGCTTTGTACAATATTACAAAATAAAGTTTGGAGTTGGAGACAACCACAAGCAGAAGTGTCAACTTACTTCATAGAATTTGATTTCTTTAAATACTGTACAATGTGTTAAGGCAAGTCTAAGATCAGCTCATAAATCCTTTCTGGGTGGTTGCCATCTGCAATTTTACAGGTTGTTTTACGACAACAAAAGGAAAGCCAACCCTGACTTCAAAGTTGATGACTCGACTTGGATAAAGATCTATCAACCTGAAGTCAGCTTGTAAAATATGCAAACTGCAATCACAAACAAAAGGTTCCACCTGAAAACTCAGCCAATCGCGACTCGGTTTTCACAAATCACTGCATGCATTCTCCGTTGGGTGGGGGCATGGCCAGGTCACCTTGGGAGGGTCTTGGCCTCCTCCAGGACAATAGATTCCCCCCTCGGTGATTGACTTCCATCTCTGCCCGCTGAGGGGTCCTTCTTCTGCAAGTCCACAGCTGCTGCAAATTGGATTTAATCCGTGTCAGTCCTCTAACACATTCAAAATACATGTTGGTGTTCAAGGTCTAGATGTTGGTGCAAAGTTTGTAAACTTCTGAATACAGAATTCTAGAACTTTACCCCACAGAAGTTGAGGTCCTGCTGTCCCCTATTCCGGACAATAAACCCAACAACAATTTCATGCAGAGTTGTCAAGGGAAACCTGACAGGCAGGCTCCAAAGATATCAAATGGGAAGGTGTACCTGTGAAAATGTTACCACCGTTCTGGCGCTGCATGACGGTGACTGGACAGTCGTTGTGGGCCAAAAGGAGCTGCTTCAACTGGGCTACCTCCTCTCTCAGCTTGGCAACTTCAGACTGCAGGTGATGGAAACAAACAGGGGGAAAAAAAGGCAATCAGATCACTGTCTTCACTTGAATGCGAAGATAATGTGCCAAGTCCGATTTGATGCGTGAGCCATCCGGACGAAGAATTTCCAAGACATTTGGTTTGTGGATTCTCCATCTGGTAATAATCAGTAACCAAGGAAGAAATAATAAGAGCGAGCTCTCTCTACAAACGTGCTAACTTTCAATCAAATCATGAACTTGATGGCTATGAGAAGGTGAGAACTGCAAGGCTCCTTTTGAGTTCCATCACGTTCACCCTCAGTAGTAGAAATGTCTGTTATGTTTCACTTGCAATGCACCAATGCTCAGATGCATTCCTGTTCCAGAAAAATAACACGCTGCAGCGTCTTTTCTAATCAACTACAACCCCCCCCCAAAAAATACCCAGCTGGATACCTCAGATGGTGGAGTGTTTCTATGGTGCCCTATGGTATCTGTGTAGTACAGGAGCAATTTCTACTATGACAGCAACTACCTCACTCTGATCGGTGAAGAGAGGCTGGTGAGGACAGATTTGATGTAAACCAGGAATCTCTACGTATCAACTGGGTGCGGCACTAAGTGCACCTGAACTTTAGTGTGGAAAGCCAACTCCAGAGGGACTCCATTGCTTTGGCATAACCTGCCCTTCTCTTGTTCCTGCGTGGAACAGACTCACACACTGTTTTTTTGCTTAACCACAGATGTCGTCAGGTTTCTCTTTATTTCAAGACTATTCTACTTTCTGCCAGTTACTAGGCCCAAAGTCGGATTGAATAGTTCAACACTCAGTGTTACGGCAAATTTTCAGTCAACCCAGCCTCTGGAAAAGCAGTCTTTTGGATGCACAACATGAAACATTATCATCAATACAGTATGCTCATACTTTCTCACTTTAGCCAACTCGAAGGAACGAAACAAATACCAGTTTCATGCTTTTGAGAAACACCTCTCAAAATATCACTGCCTTGTACCTGCAACTCAATCTCAAAATAATCCTTGAAAATTCTGGATAAAAGAGCCCATATTCCACTGTTTGGCACAGGCCTACTGCCTCTGATGTAACGCCTTTGTATTTCATGTTATACAACGTGTCCTGGGATCTCCTGTTGCCTAGCTTGCCTGGTGCTTACCAGCAGCACGTTGTTAGTGCTCTTGTATTCCTCGGCCTTTTGCTCCAAGTTGTTGATCCACTGCTTGCGCTTGTTGCGGCACCGTGTCGCCGCCGCCCGGTTGCGCTCCAGGAACCTCTCCCTCTTCTCGTCAGCGCTCATATCTGAGTTTCGCCGTCGCCTCCTGTTATTGCATGGAAACATGAGTATAATTGCACAGTGTTTCTAAGTGGTCAGGATAAGTTTGTGATCCAATGTTGTAATAAACACAGGGACACTGGTAACAAGTCTTTCTGCACTTGTTTTAGAAGCAGCATTTTGACCAGTCTGCTATGGTACGGTGCTTGAAGACCACATCAAGACACAGATTTATTATTTTGACTGGTACTCTTTTCTTCGGAGCACAGCATACAAATTTTCACACTACCTTTTCTCTTCTAATTCATTTCAACAGACTGGATAGCTCAGTTGGTAGAGCACCGGTACGGTATTACAGAGGTCGCAGGTTCAAATCCCACTCCAGTCAATTTCTTTGCTCATCTTTATAATCATGTATAAGCACCTAGTCAGTTTCCCAATAGTTTGTGTCACATCAGATATTTCCATGGAAAAAGAACAGGAAATAGAAGATGGAGACTGATGGAATGGATCTACAACTACATACATCCAATTAGTAAACCAACCATATAGAATTAGTTGAGCAATCTTGAGACTTCCGTGAGCCACTTTGAAGAAAATAAATAATTAATGTAAACTGTGCAAACCAACAAAATGGAGGACGGTATATACCCTTTCTAATGCATGTGAACAATTAGTAAGTAAAAAAAATGCCCTTAGGACTCATTCTGTGAAATTTGGTCATGCTATTCCTTATTTGATTACTGTCTTAGAGTGCACTTGTTGATAGACAGACTGCGATGAAAATCACACTAAACTCACTTGATTTGACCCTCAGACGAGCCTTGGTCCCCAGATGTCTCAATCGACACTTCGTTTACCATGCCTTGCTGCCTGGTGACCACATCCACTGCTTGAGCCATGACTCCCATGTTGCCTTGCGACTGGTTTGTCAGTAGACTGTTCTTCAGTTTCTGTTCACGGCAGGAAATGTTGACAACCAGAGTTATTTTGGATCTTGAGTTTATTGACAAAAAAAAGTGAACCAACATGGTAACACCTCATATTTCAGAGCAAGTTCTCTCAATTACTGGTCGACTTTGCCTGGTACCCATGATACATTTTGGGCACGGGTTACCGCCTAAACTTGCCCTCAAATAAAATGCACCTTGTCAATCTGGATTATTCACATGTATGCTGTTCATTCTGTGAGACAGTTGTTCAGAAGAAAGTGCATGTAAATGTACACAGTAAGCGATGGATGACAAAAAATATATCATACACAATAAGGGTATACAGAAAAAGTATGACGCTGCCCTCCATAAGAAGGTCCTTTCGGTTTTTACCTGCTTCACCGACTTAGAATCCAGTGGCAAAGTCTCCGACACCTGGCTGACCACCACCGACACCTGGGGCACCGCCGAGATGGCCACAGGGATGGGTGCCTGGGGGTTGGCCACCGAGGGTGGGACAACGGGAATGGTCTGGCCCCCTGGCAGGCGCAAGAGGATGGGGCCCGAGATGGGGATGGTGCTCCGGTTGAGCTGAACTGTCTGCTGCTGTATCGGGGCA